TAATTAGAGTTTTTTTGTTTTTACCGAATTTTACTTTTGCTTATATTAATTTGTTGACTATTTTCACTCTCTGATATGAGGCTACATTAAAAAGTTTTAAAGCAATTAGAAAAAAAGTTAAATAAATATTATATGTTCTACGAAACTATTAAATGATCTAGTTGAAAAATGGGGAACGTTGAAAAAAAATAAAAATAAAAAAGGCAACGCAGCAGAAATTACTAGAAACAACTTAAAAAAAAATGCAAAGAAAGTTTTTTGAATTGGAAAACCTGATATTTGCTCCATTTTGAAGAAGAAACATGGAAACAACCTAGATTCATACAATTCAGATAAGCAATTTTTAAATGATCAAATGACGAAACGTAAAATGACACTTGGTTCAAAGGATTTAGCATATTGCCAAAAGCTGAAAAAAATAGAAGAAAGAAGATTGCTTATCAAGATTTAAATGCTTACTGGCAGATGGTTCAGTATAAACGTTGGGTGGAATCTTATGATCCAGGAGCTAATGATATACTAGAGGGAATTGAAGAAGTATTGAAATCAATGGAGAGACATACGTGGTATTTGGATCAAACCTTGATTCCATTATGTCTCGCAGATAAAGAACTCGAAGATGATGAGAAAGAAAAAGCTGCAAAAGTTCTTTTCTCGCAACCTGTTCCGATTCACTATGAGAAGTTTGAAAATCCAATCCTTCTGAAAGATCTAGACTTCACCCTGGAGAAACCACCTAGCTTGTCACAGGTGGTTCATAGGAACTTGTGGTTTATTTTTAGTCTCTTAATTTTGAGCAAAGACGATGATAAACCTTGGCTGAATTGTCCTTCATTTTTTTGGGGCTTTATCGACCAATTTAAAACTTTCATTGAATTTGTTCGCCGAATATATGTTGTCAACGACTGCTCTGAACGAGCAATTAAGCTTGTTTCAGAGTTTGTTAATTCTGTTCACAATGAAGAGGACAGGCAAGATTTACTATTGGCCGTTCAGCATAGTAGGGATAAATTTAGGGAATTCGAAAAAGTACAAACTACGGAGAGTGGCAAAAAAAAAATATTTTGTAAAAAAAAGTAAAATAGATGGAGGAGGGGGAGTGAAAGAAACGAATTCTCCGCCGCCCACCACTAACCCTCCTATGTTAGAAATTATTTTCCCAATTGGGGTCCCTATGTAAAAAATTAATTTCAAAATTGAATTTTGGATCAAATTAATCTTTGTAAACAAGAATTTGATAAAATTTGTCACGGAAAGTTTGAGTGATAAAAAAATTGGTCAATAGATATATCCATAAAATTACCTAAAATTAGAACGCTTCACCCATTTTTCCACTGTCAAACCAATACACTTTTTAAAAAACTTGTAAGTAAAATATGGCACGAATTCGTTTTTAAATCTTTTCTAATTTTTTTAGAATAAACAGTTTGAAAAAGAAAGATTGTTTTTGTTTGTGACACACGTCATGCGGTATGTGTTTGTGACACACGTCACAAACACATACCGTTTTACCATTTACCATTTTACCATTACCATATGTGTTTGTGACACACGTCATGCGGTATTACGGTCACACGTATGCAGTAGTGGTGTAGTGGTAGAGCGCTCGCTTCATAAACGAGTGGTTCCGAGTTCGATCCCCACCACGTCCCTGGTAGTACCGCGCTCAACTCGTTTCTCCGTGCAGCGGCCTTGTTCGTCAAGGTTCGTGTTTCGGAGTTATAGAGTTGAGAGAGGGTTATAGCCACAAAATAAGTAGCCTCCTCGTTTGTAGTGGCCTTCTCGGCCTTGAGGAGGTGAAGTAAAATAAAAAAAAAAAAAACGTGAGTTAAGTTCGATCGCAAGCATCATTTTATTTAAATATACTTAAAAATTATACTAAGTTGATGCGTTTTAAGCTATTTTTCTTGAGCTAAATTAATATATATTTTTTTATTGTAAACTTCCCAACCAATTCTAAATTAATATTTAGGCCTTTTATAGTACATAGAAAAAAAATTGTTGTTTTATGTCAATGTTTAAGGTCCCCGCTTTTTGGTTAAAAAAGTTGGGTTTTGGGGCACAAATTGTAAAAGCGGGGACCTTAAAAATGGCTTTCAAAAATTTTTTTTTAGCGTAAAATCATTTTTATCCAACTAGTCAACTAATCCAGGTGGTTGGGATTTAGTTTGAAAAAATTGTTGAAAAATGACGCACCCTAGTGGGCATGTTAACTTTTTTGCTCTTAAAGCAATTTTTTTTTAAATGAATTATTTTATGTAAAAATATTGAAGTAAACAAATAATAGGTATAGGTATGATCGGTGTGGAATAGATAAGTATAGAAATAGTAGATTTGGTAAAGACCCATATAATTTAACCTACAACCTACAACTATACAACCTACAACTTTTTAAATCTTCAGTTAACCATTTCAAGTTTTCAGTTAACCATTTCCTAGTATTTTTACTTATTCTCTATTTTAAAGTAACTCATAGCATAATAGTGGTTGCTTGCAATCTTGCTGAAAGTAAATTAGAGTTTGAAAATATATAAATATATGTCAGTATTTAATAAATAGTAAATGTAAGCATAAAATTATAATATATAAAGTATTATAAATTTTTTTTCCAGCCTGGCTATCAATCCCTAATAAATTTTATAGTTTAGCTGGGGCCGGGTTTGAAAAAAGTCTTATTTTTAGCTGGGGCTGGGGCCCCGGTCACTTACTACTTATAACTCATAATTTGTGTCGCATTTCTGACCCTTGTGGTCTGTTTCTCTTTTTTCCCTCCTATGGCATTTAGATCATGCTATGATCTTATAAAAATTTTTTTGTTTTTCTATATTTAGTTGAATCAAATTATGGGAAATCTGATGTAGATAACACTGTATTTTTTAAAAATCAGCTTAACCCTAACTTCATACTTCTTACACCCTTACATACACCTTAACATCATACTTCTTACCTTGAAACTGGCTGTAAATCTTTTTGATTTTTTTTTCATGATTTTTTTATTGTGATTCTGTTTGTGATTTTTTTTTCTTGGGCTGATGTCATTTGTCTCTCTGTTGAAAATTGCAACTTTATTACAAAATACGAAATTTAATTGTATATGTTGCTGGCTCTAACACATTCATTTAACTTAATTTTTTTAATTTTTGCCACAAAATGATCAATTTTATTCCACTCCTTTGTTAGGTAAAAAGCTAATTCAGAATTTTTTTTTCACCCAGCCTTCTAATACATTCAATAAATATCTGGAAATAAAAATGTGCACGACAAAACTTGGATACTCTTATTTCTTAACTAACCTTTTACTAATGGTGATATGTTTTGGGTTGTTTTCATACATTAATGTGACATTAGTCCAAAGCTTTAATTTGATTTTTTATATATATATATACTTTTTATAATTTTTTTAATAATTTTTATGTTTTATATTTTCCACCAAGAAGATTCTCATACACTTTGTATTTTTATACTTTTTTACGATTAATTTTATTGCTCAATTTAATCACATTTTCTTTGTTTTACATCATAACCTTTATATTATACTGCATCATATACATCATTTTATGTATATGTCATATATTATATGTATATATTATATACATCATTTTACATCAGTTTTGAAAACCCTAATGTCATTAATTTTAAGTCTCAAAAACATCTTCTAAACATCGCTTTAGATGTTTATGATTAAAATTGTTTTGTCCAAAATCCTAAATAAATGTTGTTGCATTATATTAATAAACTATTAATAAAAATTAATAGTTGCATATAAATATAAATATTAAATTTGTTAATTATTAATATAATATTGTTTGTTTCCTGATAAACAATATACTAGCTTAAATTCTATCAGTATCTGTTAATAATATAAACAATTATTGTACCATCCAAATAGGAATGAAGAAAAATTTTTCTTGTAAAACAGCCCCTAATTGTTAAAAATATGGGGCGGCTTAGGCCCTACCAGTATACCAATATCTGTTGATAGTAAAAACCAATTATTGTAGGATAACAACCAAGGATGAATGGAAAAAATGTACCAACCACAAACAATCTTTTAAACACAAAACATACTTAAAAGAGACAATACTGTCAAAATATATTTGGGATTTAAAAAAAAAACAAACAATTTTGAATAATCTATTTGGTGATCCATTCTAAAACTTTGTTTTAAAATGTTTACAAAAAATATGTGCTACATTTGCAGAAAAGTTTTTTTTTGTTTATGCATACATTTTTCAGAAACGTAATACTAATCTAAATGGGTAGTTTTTTTTGCATCTCCCATTTAGATGTATTTTTTTAAAAATTAATTTACTACGGCATTCTTTAAAACAATTACTTTCAGTCTAAAATATGTAGTATAAAAGTAATAAATCAAAACTTTCCTAAACTCTCTACCTACTTACAATGAAATTAGTCTAATTTTATTTAGTATTAATTTTATCAAATTCATGTTTTAGTTTTACTAGACTTCAGAAAGTAAGGAGCAAGCAGTTAAACAGTCAACAGCCAATGAGTCAAACAGTCAACTAGTCAACCAGTCAACCATTCAACCAGTCAACAATAAAATTAGTCTCTACAAAACTAACTTTATTGTTACTCCTTACTTTCTGAAGTCCAGTAAAACTAAAATATGAATTCGATAAAATTGATGCTTCAAAAGCTAATGTAATCAATTAAATGAGTTTGACAAAGTTGTTAATGCTTTACAAAAAAAGTCAGAATAAGCAAGGCACAAGGAAGACAAGATGCTTCAGTGAGGATTTAAATGTGTAATTCCGTGGATTACAAATTTAAACCACCACCCTAAATTAAATTTAACCCTCACCAAAAATTAAATTTAAACCCTCACCCTAATATATGATAAGAAGCGGATAGGAAACCGTGAAATCGTGTAATTTGTTTAAATAGTCAAATTTAAGAAAAATTTGAATTACTATACTCAAATACAAATATTATACATATTTAAAACAAAATAATAACATTTGCAAAAAAATTCATACCTTTCAAACCATAAGGATGAAGAGCTCGCCTTTCAGTAAGTACAGATAGTGTTTGTTCTCTTCGAAACAACAGCTCTCTCACTATTCCATCACCACCATTGAATTTACCACGTCCACCACTTCCTAGGCGGACTGAAAAACTTTTTAAGACCACAGGATACCTAAATATTGAAAATAATAATAAAACAAAATAAAATAACAAACTTTTATTTTAAACCTATTTTTAATAAAATAATGTTATTTAATAAAATAGAGATAAATATCTAGATAATAAACTTAATATAAAAAAAATTAAGACTCAAAACGTTTTCAAATACATTAAAAATTTTATAAATATTGTTTTATTAATTTTATTGTTAATTAATATTGTTTTATTAATTTTATTAAGCAGAACATTAATAATGTTCAGTTTTTTATTACTATTTAAAAGACCACTTTCAAATAAACATAATTAGAATGCTGCAAATAGTCAAAAAAAAAAAAAAAAAAAAGTCAAAAAAATTTAAAACCAAGTTATAAAGCAATCTTAAAATTGTTAAATAATAAATAAATAAAAAATAATATTTAATTGTTAATAATAAATAAATAAATAATAATATTTAATTGTTAATAATAAGCCGATTTTTTTTTCTAAAATTAATTCAAAAAAAATTAAATTACTGTATATTTATGTTTGTGTTCTGTCAGAATCTTTTTATGCTTGTGTTCACTCACCCATAAGAATTTATGATCAAGTCAAGTTCTAAAGATGATCAAATAAAGTTCTTAAAATGATCAAGTCAAGTTCTTAAGATGATCAAGTCAAGATCTCTAATAATTTAAAACATGACTAAAGTACATAGAAATATTACACATAAAAATCATTACAACTTGTCTTTTATAAATATTCCTTGTCTTTGAAGTAACTTTTTATTAGTATACCTCTTGCAAAATTCACCAGACTTGTTCTTTGTAAGACTAATTTAAAATATGGTTTGAATCCTCCAATCATCCTTTTATGTATTTGTGTTTAGCATCTCTTCACCTTTCTGTTTGTTCTTTAAAATTCTTAAGCATGGAATCAATGATTCCTGCTTGTTGTGCTTCAACAAGAATTTGAAAACATGGGTTTTAACTTGAACTTGTTGTGTTTCAAACAAGAAGTTAAAACCAACTTCTTGATTGAACTGCTATTTATAATTGTAATCGTTTTTTAAATAACAAAAACAATTCTCTTGAGAAACATATTTTTAATATTGCAAGTGTGACAGTATTCTTAGTTTACTAAATCTCATGTTTTATCTCAGAAGTAAGGCTGAAAAATCTTTATCTGTGTCATTCACAAAGCCAAATTTAACATTCAAACTCAAAATCTCAACCATCTGGGTCTGATCTTATTACATCTCCCAAATATAAAGCAGAACTATTTGTAAAGAACTGTTTATCTAATTTGTAGTTTGAATCTAGTGACCACACTCTTTCTGAAATAGTTTAATCCATGGTTAGACATCCAAATCATTTTGGTTTCCATAGCTAAAGTTATTTCTCTTTTTAACTCTTATTTTTTGTGGCCCAAAAATTCTTGTCACATTCTTACAAAAGTGTTTAAATACTCTTTAAATATTCTAAAAAAATTTCTTTACAAACCCCTAATCCCTTTTATCTATCGTCTAATCAGTCTTCTCTCTATTATAAGATTTTAGGTTTTTTGACTCTCACTGAGTAAGTCCTCAACTTTGTCTTCTCACATTATCATTTACTACTGACCTCTCATGGAAACTGTTTATACAGTTCATTGGAAAGTTAGCATCAGCTAAAGCTTCCTCTATTTATTGTGCTTGTCAATATCTTAATATGGCTCCTAATGTACCTACCACTCATACTTCTACAAATCTTATTTGCCCTGGTTCTTCTAATGATGCCCATTTTATTTTGACATGAAAACTAAAGAAAGAACTGTTTACTTTGCCTAGCAGCTAATTTAACCAAGCTCAAAATTTTAAATATTTCAAAACATGAAGATTTTTTGTGCAACAACTGCTTGTGGTAAAAATTAGTAAATAAAATGGAACAATAAATAAAAAATTTAATTATAAGTTATTAACTAAAATTTAACTTTATAAGTTACTAATAAAAAAAAGTTTAATTAATAACTTATAAAACTTGTTTTTGTTTTTGAGTTTTCCTTGAAAAAAAAAAAAAAAAAACTTAAAAAATACAACGTTATGTAAGAGACCTTTGCTTGGCACACAAACTTATCATTATTATATGAAAGGTCAATATCACACAAGAACTTATCATTATTATGAAATATGTATATATATATATATATATATATATATATATATATATATATATATATATATATATATATATATATATTATATATGAAAGGTCAGTATCACAAAAGAACTTATCATTGTTATATGAAAGGTCAGTATCACAAAAGAACTTATCAGTATATGGAAGACTACAACTATGACTATAAGACCACAATCATTTTGTTTTTCATTTTGAAAAACAAAATGACCTTTGAAACTCTTATATAAAAAAAAACAAAAAACAAACAGACCTTTGAAACTCTTATATAAAAAAAAAAAAAAAAAAAAAAAAAAAAAAAAAAAAAAAAAAAAAAAAAAAACGTTTTTTTTTTACTTTTTTGTTTGATAATAAAACTTATCACTTTTATTTCTGTTGCTAAAGAAATGTTTAGAATAACTGTTTTTTGTAAATTTTCTATATTAAATTGTGCAGTTCCCCTTGTATAAAAGTACTTGATGATAGCCAGTTTAGTAAGAGTGACCAGACCTTTTGGTGCAGATAACACCACCTTATTATTAGTTTTTTGGAATATTTGTAGATTTCTTTGAAATCTTATTAGAGATCAAAATCGCAAATTTTTTAATAAAACAAAAGGGATTAAAAGGTTTAAGTGGATTATAAAGATTTTAAAATTGAAAAGTGATAAAATTGAAAAGAAAAAAATTGAACTTTTAGTTTTAGTGATACTATCGTCTTATAATATAAAAAGTAACAGACAACTTAAACAAAAGTATATAACAGACAACTTAAACAAAAGTATATATCAGACAACTTAAACAAAAGTATATAACAGACAACTTAAACTAAAGGCAAAAGTAGTTTAAAGATAAAAATAGAAAAAGCTCAACCTCTTCTCTAGCACTTCAGGGTCGGTGATTCTTGTGTTTGTCATATGTGTATGAATGCCACTACGACCATGCCATGATGGACCCTTTCAAAAAAGTCAACTTTATTATACTTTGTTTTGTATATAATTACATCATATACAAAAAAAACAAAACAACAACAAAAGAATATAGAATTTATTTCTAAAATGACTTACAGCACCAGCACCACCAGCCACAGTTTCATAATAGCCACTATTTCCATCACCAAATGTAACATTGTTCATGCAACCCTAAATTTGCAATTTTATTCATAATTCAAAATAAATAATGATATAAATAATGAATTTTTTGGAATATTTGAAATAAATAATAGACAAATAATAAATTCAATTTGAATTAATCAACCTGAGAAGCAGCGCATGTTTCAAATGCTTTGAAAATAACATCTACAAGTCGCTGACTGGTCAGAACATTTCCTCCTACTACAGCAGCATCAGAATGTGGATTGATTAAGCAACCCTCTGGTATAACAACATCAATTGGTGCTAAGCAACCCTTTATAAAAAAAAAAAAAAAAATGAATTTAATTAACATAACATTTTATCTGCTACATTAATGGTTTGAAATGATACAATACAAAATTTGGATAAATGTTTATATTTTTTTATTATTACACATATTTATTATTTATATATCATTGTAATAAACTTACAAATTTTTTTTAATTATGTATATTATGATTATGATATATTATGTTTATAATTATTAGACATATTAATTATTATTTGATAATTACAAATAAATTAAAAACTACTTAAAAAATATTTTAACCTGGTTTAAAGGTATATCTTTACCAATCATACATCGTATGCAATAAATAAGAGCGGAATATGCAACAGCACGAGGAGCATTGCAGTTTCCATATACCTGAGGTCCAGTTCCAGTAAAGTCAAACTTTGCAGAACCCTAAAACCACATCTTAAAGTAAGTGAAATGGAATTGGCATCTACCAAAATAATATATTTAGTTACTACCTATTACAGTCAAGTGACATTAAAATGGAAATATATTCAAAAAGCATTATTTTTTTATTCTTAATTTTTGTTTTTTTTAAATGTTCCATTGGATGACCCTTGTTATCACAGATAGGTATACAACATTTAGACCAGGACATCAATGCTTTATTTATAAGTTCTTGAGGGATGTTCTTCTATATATCTTTTATATTCAGAATAAGCCCTGTAATATTTTTTGCTTTTTGTTTTTTTAATTGATTTAATATAACTCAATGTAAAAAAGTCCATCGGTGCGTTATCTGGTGAGTTTGGTGTCCACATTTCAGGATGAATAAATTTGATTTTTTGGTCAGTTTAAGATTTAATGGTCATTTTCGAAGAGTGACTAGGTACAGAGTCTTGATGGCAACAAAAGTCATTTTTGGATATAGCCTTTTGATATCATTTTTAATAAATGGTTTTAAAAGACTTCATATAATTACTTGAATTAATATTAACTTCTGATTTGACAAATATTAGAGATGTTAATTCTTTTGCACAAGTTCTTCCCATACCATACAAATTTTGGAAAATTTTTCTTTTTAGATTAGGGTATTCTTAGTGCTTTTTGATATTTAATTATGTAAATATGTTTGGATTTTTGATCACAATCAGTAAGGAGGAATAGTTTTTCATCAGCTGTAATGATTTTTGTTCAGTTTTTCTTAATAAATCCATAAAGCATTTTTGATCTTGTAAACTTTCTCTTGATCGCACAAGATGATAATGCATGTACACATCTTTTTGAAACTTTTTTTTAGATGAAATATTTTATCAATATTTAATTGACTTTCTTGATATCTTAAACTTTCTAGATAATTCAGAAATAGTTGGTTGATTGTCTTTTTTAATAAGTTTTTCAACTGAAAAATTTGCTGTAAATTTAGCTTAAATGGTCGATGTCAACATTCAGCTTTTTTGCCATTTAAATCAACATTTAAATTCACGTTATTTTTAACTCTACTAACAGTGGTTATTGAAACTTTGATTGATTTCTTTTCTAATAATTTCTTAATCATTCTTATTCAAGTTTTACCAACAATAGAACACGCCCTTTAATATTTTCTTAATTTTTTTTTGTCAACATGCTTTGTTTACATAAATCTTTTTTTCCCACTAACTACTTTAAATATGTGATAAATTATACAAATAACATTGTTACATATTGTTTAGTTAAAAAGTAATCAAGTTTCAAATGTATTTCCATTTTAATGTCACATGACTGTAGACAGTATGTTGGAGATGAGTTGGTTTTTCTCAACCTCATCACCTATCCATTGATACTCAAACCCATTTCTAATTAATTAGTAAATTATTACCATATATTGTATAAAGTTGAACAAATATATAATTTTATTACTAATATATCACAAAGTTTAAACTATGATACAGCACTGTACAATTTTCTACAAAATATAAAATACATATTTATCTATACATACATATATATGATGAAAACCATAAGCACACATATTAAATTATAAATAAATATAGTATGTGTGTGTACGTATAGATAAACATGTATTTTATATATTGCTTTTAAATGAGTTACAAAAAAACCTTATTAACTTTTGTTAAAAAATGTTTTTTTCTACTTATAATTATAACTGGATCAGAAGAGATTTCAAGAACAAGGGTAGGATGTTCCTAGATCAAAGTCAAAGAATTATCTCCACTCTTAACTAAAAATTCAAGAGATGTATCTTTTAAAAATCACAAAAAAGTTAAACACCAAATTTATCTAGAGTTTAATGATGTATGGCAGTAAAACATTAATAATGTCTAGGTTCTTTAAAGAACAGAGAATATGATGATCAAATAAATATGTGGTGTGACTTGAAACAATTAAAGAAGCGAAAAAAGATAAAGAATAGCAAATGTATTTGATAGGGTGCATCATAAAGGAAAATAGTGGTTGGATCATTTAGAGAATAAAGGTGTAGCTGTTTGGGTATTATTATGTAGAGAGATTTAAAAAAAAGAAGTTAAATGTAGGCAAACTTGAAAAGAAAGGATTACAGATGACATAAAAAATTTAAGGAAAGATGACTAAGATCAAGATTTTACAAAGATCTTGTTAATTGATCACAAGCAATCAATTTAAATCGGTTCTTGATGGCTATAACTATTTAATAATAATAATAGCAATAATAATAATAACAAAAATAAAAATAAAAAAACCCAAACATCTACTTTGGAGTCAACATTAAAATGATAACTACAAAACCATGTAACAACCATGATAACAACCATGTAACATTAATGATGAATTAAAACTTTCTATTGACCAATGCTTGTACAATTGTTTGTAAATGTCACAAATTTGTTGTGATATGTGTGATTTGTTTGTTTTGCTTATGAGTGCATTGTGACATTAATACTCATTTAATAAATATTAGAAGATTCTCTATAAGGTAAACAGTATTGATAGCTCTATATAATTTTATTTATACAACCATTATTTTCTACTTTTATGATATAAAAGGAATCTACTTTTATGATATAAAAGAAAAATGCTCTTTTTATAGCAGTACTATACTATAAATAATAAAGTTTTGATAGAAATTCTAACGGAATTCCTGCAGCCCATATATTAAAAAAAAATGTGTATAAATTTTTGCTTTCTGAAATCAGATTGATTTCTAATTTTTAAAAATGTACTTAAATTTTTACCCCTTTTATGAACTCTTTCAATATATCATTTTTAAACATAAAATATTTATTGTACATAACATTCAAGTGTTATATACTGTTTGGAAATAAATAAACCAATTTATAAATTTAAAAATAACTGGCAAGTTAATGTAGATTGAGTTTGTCCCCTTCATTAGGAATTATTATTAGGTGTTCCTCAAAACAAAAACATAACAAGACCTAAAAGGCTTTCTGATGCTAAGTAGTTCATCTATTTATTCAATCTTTTTTTTTTAAATGTGCTTTAAATGTGCAAACATATTTTGTATACAAACAATTTATTATTTATTATTGCTGATTTTTAAGTTGTTAAATTTATTTTTAAATTTAACAATTTAAAAATAAATAATAATAAATAATAATTTCTAAAGTCAAGATGTATAAATATAAACAAATAAAAGTAATGTGTAATATATAATAATAAAAATAAAGAATATATGTATAACTTAAATAAATATCTAAAATATTAAAATATAAACCTGCTCTTCGTTAATAGAAACAGTAAGATTAATAGGCGATCCATCATCCATGTAGTCACATGATTCAAGAACTGCTTTACCAGTCTTCAGCTAAAAAATAAAAATTACTTGATATAAATCATTAAAATCATAAAAATTATTTGATATTTTTTTCTTTGACCACTTGACTGTGCACAAAATATTACTAATGATATGATATAAACATATCCATTTAGGGCTTAATGATAAGAATAAATTTGTCTTCTTCTAGCCCCGGTCATGTAATTATTTTTTTATAAGTTACTACTGTAAATTTTTTTTTTATCGGCAAAAGTGTAAATAAATAAATAAATTTGTGAGGGCACCAGAAAAAATGTCAAACATTTGTGAGGGCACAAGAAAAAATGTCAACTAAATGTTTGAGTTCAACAAGTACAATTAAGATATAAAGAACATTAATTCCAGCAAAATAATTTTCATTTCTACCCACCATTCTTTTTTTTACTTCTTTGTCTTGAAAACTGTCAGGATTTTAAAATCTAAAAACCCAACATTTTCAAACCTAGAGTGTGCAAAATGTATTAGGACAGTACAACCTAAAATTTGCTTCAATCAATCTGTTTAACCAGTAAACCTGCTAATTTAAGCAGGGCAGTCTGCTAATTTTATAATATTTATGTGAATATAAACAATATTTATGTGAATATATTTAATATTTGTGTGAATATAATTAATATTTATGTTAATATAATTAACATTTATGTGAATATAATTAATATTTATGTGAATATAATGGGTGTTAAATAAAAATCCATGAAAACTTTTAATTGCAATTATAAGGTTTAAATTGAAACAGAAATATATTTATACGAGGTATTTCCGAAAATTCATGCACGGAAACTTGTATATTTTTTGTCTATTATTTTCATAAAAATAAAACTGGCTTTCTTTAATTTATTGTTAACAAATATTTTGTTAACAAAAAATGGTACATGTTAGCAATGTTATTAAAGAATAAATTAAGCTTGAAGTGGAACCACGCATAGAACAGAAATATGCAAATTTTAGTTACTAGATAAATAAACTTGAACTTCTCAGAAAATACAGGTTTCAACAGTATACTTTTTAAAAAAATAATATTTTAGATACTAGTAATGATTTCCAGAAAGTTACAAGATTGCTATATATATAATCAAGTCACAACAATCGTTTAAATGCAGTTCACTAATGAGGTCATGCACGGAACTTGTGAATTTGTTGATTTCATGCAGTTATTTTTATGTAAATAAATTTCTTGTGATTATTGTAAAATATTATACTTCTATAACTCATTTGAATGTGTGAATATTATATCCATATTAAATATTATATCCATACAATTTGTGTTTAATATATTATTGATGAGAAATAGCAGTAAAACATATTGAAATAATTGTATATTTTATATACTAACTTGCAACATTAATATCCAAAAAGAAAAAAATAATAATAAAAATAAACGAAAAACGATAAAAATTAAAAAAAAAAAAGGATAAAAAAACTTATTCAGGTAGCCTAAAATATGATAAAAATATTGCATACTGAAAAAAATATGCATATTGTTTTAAGTCCCAACTTCTAATTGTGAAAACAAAGAAAAATAAAAAATTACGCACAGTAATGAAAATGCCCACTATTTAAAATATCCCTCCTCGAGCTTTTGAGAAAAATAAGTATCATTTTTGCACCGAATTAGAACAACACAGAAATGGAAATGCTATAGAGAGTAATCTTTTATTAGTTCTGATTTTTCAAAATTGAATACAAGTTGATTTGGCAAGGTTTTTATTATTTATTTGAGCCTTTTCCAAGGTTTTTATTATTTATTTGAGCATTTACTCTATTACAAAGTTTCAGATTTTTACATACCAGTTTATTGCATAGACAATTTCTTTTTGAATACTTAAAAAATTCCTAATTGGGCAACATTTATGGAATTCTCTTCAAAGAACAATGCCATGTTTTGGCATAAGCAAGGTTAGCAAGAATAAGTGTTGATCAATATTAAAACACTCTTCAGTATAAACCGTGTTTCTTGATGCAATACACCAAGCAAAGAGTTTGTTAAACATTAGGACTGCTGGTAACAAAATACATTTTTGACAACTCTTTATCAGAAATGCATAACCAGACTAGCACTTTATGTAAAATGCAGACGACTGCAAATATTAGTATTTTCGATATTAAATATAATATTTGGATATAAATGTTAATATTTGCGATATTAAATCTTGCAATTTGAGAAAGAAAAAAAAACATTGCAATTGATTATGATGCAAGCTAAAGAGAAACAAGACTCATAATCAATAATGGACAATTTCACTTGCAGATACTGATACAGGTGCAAATTCTTGCTCCCTGGTTATATAGTTGTTAACAGTTGTTACAACCCTCTATCTAGCTCCAAAAAATGAACCCTAACAAGCAAAACCATTGAATGAAAAACAAGTTAAGAGAGTAACTACTGTTTTTGTGGAATTGAACTAGTTTCATATATATATATATATATATATATATATATATATATATATATATATATATATATATATATATATATATATATATATATATATATATATATATATATATATATATATATATATATATATATATATATATATATATATATATATATATATATATATATATATGAAACTAGTTCAATTCCACAAAAACTACTGTTTTTGTGGAATTGAATCAGGAAAGCAAGATGAAGGAAGCGAATTCCAAAGAACTGATGTTCGAGGAAAAAAACTAGACAAATAAGAGTTTTTGGAGCACTTAGGAACAGTAACAGAAAAAGGATGAGAAAGTAGTTTTTGTGGAACTGAACATTCTCGTGTTACTCGTCATTCAATTAAGTATCATCCTTTTTCTGTTACTGTTCCTAAGTGCTCCAAAAACTCTTATTCGTCTAGTTTTTTTCCTCGAACATCAGTTCTTTGGGATTCGCTTCCTTCATCTTGCTTTCCTGATTCATATAATTTGCAATATTTTAAGTCGTCTGTCAATCGTTATCTTGCTCTACAATCTTCATCTTTTCTCTTCCAGTAACTTCCAACACTAATAAGTGGTTGCTTGCAACCTTGTTGGAAGCGAAGATAATTAAAAATATATATATATATATATATATATATATATATATATATATATATATATATATATATATATATATATATATATATATATATATATATGAAACTAGTGACTGAAGGTTTTTACCATAAAATGTCAACATAAAGTTCATGTTTAATAGTAAAAAATAAGTTAAATTAAAAAGATTTTTTGAAGAATTATATTTTTGAAAATGAGAAGGATATTTTGTTTAACTTTTTGACTTAAACTTTATTTTTATCTTAAATTTTTTTATGCAGGCCTGTGTAGACTGTGTTGTCAAACCCTTATTCGGAAGTTAAGTTAACACCTAGAATTTTTTTAATCATTTATACATTAAATAAGAGGTATTTTAATAAAAAAAAAATATTTTAAATCAAAATTCTTACCTTGGTAGCCAAAGCAATATCCTTTAGCATTTCTCTGACAACATCTTCAGCATTTTTCTAAATAAAACAAACAAATCTGTATATACAAAAATGCTACAGACCTGTTTTAAAAAAAAATGTAATTAAATCTATAGAACACATATAAATGTATATCACTTATACAAAGTTAGCAATACCTGAATATAGCTCATATAAGCTTGGACTACATCTAAACCATACTCATCGATAAGATTTTTTATAAGAAGAATACCCTAAAAAAATATTTTTGTACAACCATAGATCTTATAATCATTAATTCTACCAAATATTTTTGTACACTATTATACAAAAATAATGGTTGTAAAATAAGAATATTTCCAATTCTGTTAAAACAATAAACATGAAATAATAAATAAAATAATCATCAAATATTAACAATAGATAACAATATTAATAATATATAAAACTCTTTGTAGATCTTTGTATAACAAATTCTTTTTAAAAAGAATTTGTTTTTTTAACCTTATTTAAAAAAACACAACAAACCTTATTGTTTGCAGCAATCTGGGCTTTTAAATCTGAAATATTATCTTTAAGATTTCGTGTACCTGAACAACCAGGATACTGTTTGGGGGCAAAAAGCGCTTCTTTTAGAGCTGAATAATTAAATAGAAAATGGTAAAATTAAAATTTTCAAATACTTAAAAAATAAAGAAAAATATATTTTAACTACTAATTACATTCTTCTTGAAAAACTCCATTTTCGACAATCTTAAAGCTTTTAAAAACAGCTCCTTCTTCAAATATTGTCTTTGAGTTTGGTGGCATTGATCCTTTAAAAATATATCACATATATCCTATATAAAATATCACATTAAGAAAAAAAATAACAATGTACTACCAATATCAACCATTGGCAGAGTTTAAAATGTTTCAATGTGGTAGTGGTATTCATAATTCATGAGATTCATAAATGAGAGGTAAAAAATTGTTGTAAAGAAGAAACTAAAATGTAGGGAAGTATTAACTCATTACTCTGTGTAACAGCCCAACATTCAGACCTTATATATAGACTTATTCAGACCCTCAGGTTTATGTTTCGTAGTAACAAGATTAAAAGAGGGACAGCTAAGATAAAAAAAAAACTATTTGCAACTATGGTAACCCTTCTGGCTTTTATGCTTAATTTAAAAAAAAAATCTTATAAATCCTATTTATATATTATTATGTTTGTGATTATTTGGAAGAATATTTTAACCTGGGAACTACCACACTCTATTCGAAAAGAGTACATACCAGGAGTAGTTCCACCAATATCAGCATGATGACCACGAGATGCAACAAAAAAAACTGGTTTTTCAACACCACTGTAAAATACCTAAATTAAACATAACAAAAATATAATCACATTTTATTTTATAAAAAATACTTTTTTAAATTTTGTAATATATAATCACTTTTTTTTGCTTAACCAAATTTTATGACTAATATACTAATAATATTTTATTTTAGTTTCTGTATAACACAATATAATTTTTTCCATTAAAATTTCATTTTAGGTTTTGTTCAATACAGTCAAATTTATTTCATAAACATCGTTTTACATTCTGTTGAATACAACCACATTTATTTCATAAATAAGATTTATTTTGCTTCTTTATAATACAATCACTTTAATTAAAAATAAAAGTTTGATGAATTATTACTTGATCGCAAATAATATTATATTTTGTCATTTTTGATTATTGTAGCTAATATTAATGCTATTATTATCAAACAAAAAAAAAATCAATCTAGCATACTGGTGTAATGACAGTAAGATCTGGAAGATGAGTTCCTCCAGCTGATGGATGGTTGCTTAGCAGCACATCACCTTCTTTTAAACTACCACCAAGCATTTTGATCTTAAATATTTAAATTATATTAAAAACAACAACAGTAAAATACAAATTTACCACAATAATACACTGATATATCTAACAATACCTGGTATTTAATAGTTTCTTGCATAGCACCAAGATGAACAGGTATGTGAGGAGCGTTAGCAACAAGTCCTCCATCTGAACCAAACATTGCGCATGAAAAATCTAAGCGTTCCTGAAATAATTACTTTAAAAATTATTCAAATGTAAAAATTTGTTGGCTGTTTTGATACACCATTATAAATTATTATAATAAATTATTTATATTACATACTACAGATCATATATTATACACAAGTGTACAATAAAAAATATACAAATTATACAAATGATTCTCTGATTGAAGTATAGTGTATAGTGTATAGTGAATATAGTGAAAAATTATACAAATGATTCTCTGATTGAAGTATAGTGTATAGTGTATAGTGTATAGTGAATATAGTGAAAAATTATACAAATGATTCTCTGATTGAAGTGTATAGTGAATATAGTGAAAAAATTATACAAATGATTCTCTGATTAAAGTATAGTGTATAGTGTATAGTGAATATAGTGAAAAAATTATACAAATGATTCTCTGATTGAAGTGTATAGTGAATATAGTGAAAAATTATACAAATGATTCTCTGATTGTCAGACAAAAAATACATAAAAAAAAAAAAATCCACAATGACATCATTTACTAAAACTGTCATGAATGAAATAAACTATACAGCCTGCAGATTGCAGTGTATATTATAAAGAATAATAGAATTAATAACAAATTATAGAACCAAGAAAAAATGGAGAAGACGAGTTTCAACTAAAACAACAATTTTTGTTTTGCTGATATGTTTTGGAGGCTGGGAACAAATTCAATAAAATTTATGTTATTCATTATTTAGTTTCAATCAAAAAAATTAAGCATAAACATTTAAAAAAAAAATTTTTTTCTTTAACATAAACACAACTTTTCTCAGCATATGAGGATCCCTTTAAGAAAACAAATGTTAAAATTAAACAGAATCTTTTACTAGAAGTTTTAAAATGATTAGAATAATTAGAGAAAACAAAATAACAAAAATACTATCTTCAAAAGCAGAAAAGATAGAAATGTACGGTCGAATAAGTGAGTTTGAAAAACTTATTCGACCGTACACTTGAGTGTACGGTTAAATAGTTATATAAACTTAGAAGTTTGAAACAAGATTTTCAGTCAAGTTTGTAATTGATATGTAACTTTTTCAAAAATCTTAAGTTTTCACTTGATTTTTTCTTTCAAAGCTCTGCAAAATATGATTTATACACACATAATAATCTAAATTTTTCAAAATATAAAAAAAATTTACCTTAATATTTGTAGACAAGGAAGTTCTTTGCAACACTCTGAAAAATGTGTTTTTAAATGTGTTTAAATATATTCTTCAATAAAAAGTTGTTATTCAATTAATATTAATCTAACCAAAAACCATTTTACTCATACCTTCCCATTTGTTCTGCAGTACTCATAAAACGATGAGAAAAAATTGACAACTAAATAAATGATATTTTTAAAATTTAAATATGAACTTTTTAAAATGAATATACAAGCCTACTCAGGAGACGCATGCAGTTGCCTTATATGATCACACACAATTTTTTTTTTTTTTTTGACAATTTTTTTTTTTTTTTTGACATCTTGATCATTGTTTTTTACATATATTGATAAGTTATTGGTTCAAATCTTTCTAACTGATAATTTTTATTTATTTTTTATTTGCTTTGTGAACATAAGATAATATCAAAGTTTCGAATTTTTAAATAAATAAGCTTCATAAATAATTTAAAACTTTAGATTTTTCTAAATTTTTTGTAGTGAAACACTTTTAAATCAAAATAAAAACATATTATTTTTATATATTTTTATATTATATTAATTTTATGTTTTTATCTTTTCTGGTTTATTATTCGTTAAGATTTTTATTTTTTAGTTTAGTTTTGTATAACTTTTTTTTAGTTTTTATTTCTCTTTTCAGTTTTCAGTTTTTAATTTAAGTTTAAGTTTACCTTTTATCTGTTTATTCAGTACATTCATGCATTTATTCAGTACATTTTTTAAAGGCACTAGTTTAAAACGTGCAAGGGGCAGCTGTACCCAAGTTGTCAAAACAAAATATTATCTGGGTGGTCAAAAGGCATGCGACATGGCTGTTTCACTCAATATAAAAGTGAACTTGACGTCACAAGAATTTTTATGTTTAAAAAAAAAAAGTATTTCTGCATAAAAAGTATAAAAATTCACTAACTTTGAAATGATATTATTTTTTTTCTATTAACACTTCTATCTTCAAATAAAAAAAATATAAAAGAACTATCTTTCTTCGTTAAATAAATATTTACATTAGACAAAATAAAAATAAACATTGTTAAAACATATCAAATGATTTTGGATCACTTTTGTGTTTTTGGCAATTTTTAGGCCAACCTAATCTTGGGCCAATCAAGATTTGACTTTTTGTTTTTATGGAAAATGTAACGATCACCAAATTAACAAATTTTCAATCCTTTATGCACACAAAAATCCAAAAATTGTTATTTACACCTCTAGCTATGTTACCAAATATGTTTTCAAACTTAGCATATTTAGCTACATATTTTTCTATTATTTTACGTTAATGTATGTTTACGATAAAGCAACCTTGAATGAATTATGTCCCAAGCTATTATTAAAAGGATTTGATGAAAACATTCGTTTTAGTGAGACAAAATTTGAAGTATAAATAAACAAAGTTATGCGGAATTTTTCTCGTCTCTAATCAAACTAATATCAGATAAGTGGTTTAATCTTCTTATATCAAGTGCATATATTTGTCAATAAATCTTTGTTTTAAATATTTTATCTTATTATATTATTATATTTTTTTATTACAACTTTAATTTATATTTAATAAATATGTATTCTACTGAGAGAGAAATTTTAAAATTACACATTGGATGAGAAGATGGTTGGGAAAATGAATTTAACTTTCCTTTTGTTAAGAGATTAATTGACACTGATAAAATCACTAACAATGTGATTTTGATTTTATTGACAGTCTTTAAACTAATAAAAGAATTATTTATTTTTATGAGCTTTATTTTGCCAGTTGATTTTAATTTGCCTTGTATTGATGAGTTCAATAAAATGTGCAAAAAATTAATACAGAAAAAAAAATTAGATTTAATAAATCTTTTGAAGCTTCAAAAAATGAAGCATTTTTTAAAATGCAACTGTCTCCAGCTCCACAAACAAAACAAAAAAAAATCAGCAGATGCAGATTATTTTTCAATTTTAAATAGGAATAAGGAACTAAGTAGTCAAGTTGACCAATTAACTTCTAAAGAAGAAGCTAATGTGGAGCAAATAGATAGACTAAAAATGCAGGTACTAAAGTTGGAAACTGAAATTGCAGATTTGAATTCTAAAAACAAGGCTTTCGACACACATTGTAACTCATTAAGTTCTCAATTAGAGGCTATGAGTATTAGGCTAAAATAGGAGGAGCAGTTCCAACTTATTTCAAAAAAAAAAAAAAATCAAAACCTCACAACGTAAATTTGAATCTGCTCGTGCAAAAAATGTAAGATCGCTCAAAAAAATTAAATTTGAAAAAAATAATGCAAAAGTTAGTAATATAAACCAGAGTAGTTGCCAAATTTGCAAACGTTTTTTTAGCAGTAATAAGGATTTAGTTGTTGTTGATTCTTATTTAGACTATGAAAACATTGGATCTTCAGAATTGTTCTATGGATTTAAATTAAGTAATCCACAGACTATATCTGTAAAAAGGCCAATAGTTGAGAAAAAATATACTTCCATTAAGTTAGGACATGGTAAACCTTATTCTAAGTTAGGTAGGCATGCAGCAGCTAGACGATCTAAACTTGCTTTTATATTCCTTCAATTATTATCTTGTTCAGATTTAGAATGTGATTTGTCTATGTTGTTTTGTGATTTTATGTCTTGTGAAAAGTCAGTATTTCATTGTGTTGCAAATAAGTTAAGTTTAGTTACTCAAGTGTTTTTGATGCAATAGAGCTGCAGAGCCAATTAAGGATACCCACGGCTGAATTCCATAGACTAAGATATATTCTGCGTAATCTTGGTGCAAGGATTCTCTTATCTGAGCATAAGATAAGACAAAAACAAGAAATGCGGACAATGCATGTCAATAAAGAATATGTCACTGCAAAGTCCATGTTACTTTATCCATCTGCGAATGAAGCACCTTGTTTAGTATCTGTACTGATGATCAAGAATTTGACAACTTATATTGAAGAGGTTTTTAATAGTCTTCACATATGCGACCACCTTAGTTCGGATGTTGGTTTTGGCGAAGAGGTATGGCTCCTTTTTGCTGGGGATAAGGGTGGAAAGTATATGAAATTCCAATTTGAAGTTGTCAATTCTAAATTGTCAGGGTCTGTATATGATGTTCATTCGTTTTGTATATATCAGGGTTCAGACTGTCGTGAGAATATTGCCTTAATTCTCGGGCATTATGCCAACAACATTAAAAGAATTCAGTCGCCAGATTTAAAGCTAAAAGGCAAAATAGTCAGGTTGTTCTTAGGTGGAGATTTTTATTTCATTGATGATGTTCTGAGACACCAGGGTTCAGCTGCTAGCTTTCCTAGTTCAACAGGTCTAGTTGAATTAAAATCTCTTAGAAACTATGCTTCTATGCCTCACACACCTGCTAATTGTAACATCTTAAGGAGGACAATACAATCTCTGGAAGGTGCTTACAATGAGAACTCGTGTGAAAATAGGCAAGGTGGAAACTTAAGAGCTCTAAGCAAGTTTCATAAATTAATTAATGCTCCTGTGTTGTTCCCCATAATAACTTTAAATAATGTAGTGCCACCTGTTTTACATATTATGTTAAGAGTTGTATTAAAACTGCATAAGTTATTGTTGAAGGAGTGTAAGACTTTAGATTTTCAAGCTGATTCGTCTTTATTGCATAATGAGAATGTGAGAACAAATGAATTGTGGGCTGCTAAAAACATTGAATGTTCTAAAACAGCAGAAACTTTGCGTTTATTAGGAAATCAATTTGTAGACATTGCAAATCTAAAGGCGCGATAGTTGGCTTTTAATAACAATTTTTTCGAATTTAAAAAAATTGTTATTAAAAAAAATTATTGTTGATTCAGAAAAGAGTGTATTGTGTGACACAAAGATGTACGAGTGTTTAGCATGTCAGGGTGAATATAAAGAATGTCTTGACCTTTATATTTCTGGAAAAATTTCTTTTATACGCGCACAACGCAAAGTTTTAGACATTGGATATATTAAATTGCAGATGGAATGTGAAGACCTAAAAAAAAAATCTAAAAGTAGGTTTGCATAATAGTGTAAATAAGGAATTAAGACAGTTGCATTCAGTAAAAAAACAAGAACAGAAGCTGCGTCTTGTTTTAAAATGCTTTGAATCGCACAGCAAAGCTGATAGGAAGCTTCAAGCCTCTAAGGTGAGAAAGTGTGTTGTGTGTTCTGAGCGTGGTGAAAATTCGTTTTATAGACAAGGCCTTTGTCTTGTCTATAAAACAAATTTAGTCTAAATAATTAAAAAATATTATAAAATTTAGTCTAAATAATTTAAAAAAATTTTTTTTAAATATTTATTATTCTTTATTATTAATTTTATATATTAGATAGGTGCCCATTTCATTCTTATCTTCACAAGTTAATTATACTTAAGCAATACCATCCAGGTTAAAGAATGGTACATAAGTCTTGCATCAAATGGGTGTAAAAATATAGCTTACTACTTTAACTTATGAGCAGAGCAACTGGTAAGTTTGTTGGCTATGATATAAAATATTAGTTTGTGTAGTTAATTTTAAAAATGTATCGTCTTTTATTATATGTAACATTTAATTTAAATATTAGATGCCCATTCGATTATTATCACCAGAAGTTAGTTCTACCTCTGCAGTACCTCTCCTCAACATACCTTCTCTCTGGTTAAAGAATAGAATTTAAGTCTCATAAATAACAAGTTAGAGTAAAGATACAGTTTAAATAAAGAATTTATAAAAGTTGTTGTCTTAGAATGTTAAGACTAAATATTTCAAAATCGACATCTGGCTCTGTTTTGTAATGCATTGAATTTATCAACTTAGTGAATTTTTTTCATATTTAAAAACGTACTCATTTAACAGATAATCCCTCTTCAAACGAAATTTTTCATAATTTTGCAAAAAAAGCGGTTTTTCTTGCAAAAAACTTCAATAAAGACTGTTTTAGTTACCTTAAGCAATTAGGTAAGGTTTTTTTATTTTGACAATAGTCAAACAACAATAATAGTCAAAATAATAAATATTTTAAAAACTTTTTTTTTTAATTATTTAGACTAAATTTTATGACCACAAACAAGACAAAAGCTTTGTCTATAAAACAAATTTTCACCACGCTCAGAACACACAGTGTAATTAATAATAACTATCAGAAATATATATTTTTGATTTTTTTTCAATAAAAAGTAACAAGAAATTACTAAAATTTAGCCAAGTTCGTCATTTTTCGAGTTTTTTTTTAAACTAAAAGAAGTTTTTTTACTATTGTATTAAATATTGTATGATGAAACATTTTGTTGTTGTTTTTATTCTTTTTACAAAACAAAATTATCTCAAATATTTCAAAAGTTATAAAAGTTTTAGTAACATCCCCTAGGTAAATATTTTCCAAAAAAAAACAGAAGCCGTAAAGCTCACTCTGAAACAGCTGTGGCGATTGCATGCATCTCCTGATAAGGTTTGTATATAGGTCTCTTTCTTTCTCTCTCTTTCTTTACACACACACACATTTATGTATATTTATATCAACCAAAAAAAGAATAAATAAACAAATAAAAAAACAATAATATAAACAATTTTAATTAAACAATAAAAAACAACAACATTTTTTTCTAAATTCTCCTAATTTAAAAAGTTTCAGTTAGAACCTTCTCAAACCAATGCGATGAAATAAGAATTATGTAATTCATTTTGTAAACAACAAAAACTTTACGATAAAGCACAAGAACTTTAGTAAATGCGTTTAGTTTTAACTTACGTTACACAAAGTTAAAATAAAAATATGTTCTTTAATTAAGCACTGTTATTCAAAACTTTAAATTTAAAAACATAACATTTAATATTCTTTCGCATATATTATTAAAAAGCTTAAGTTTTTTTTAACTATCTATCTATCTATCTATCTACCTATCTATCTATCTATCTATCTATCTATCTATCTATCTATCTATCTATCTATCTATCTATCTATCTATCTATCTATCTATCTATCTATCTATCTATCTATCTATCTATCTATCTATCTATCTATATATATATATATATATATATATATATATATATATATATATATATATATATATATATATATATATATATATATATATATATATATATATATATATATATATATATATATATATATATATATATATATATATATATATATATATATATATATAGTAAAGAAGAAAATGATTAAAAAACCTGGATCCTGTCAAGAGTGGTTCCAACAACTTTATTATTTTTTCCAGTTGAAACCTGAATCCAAAAAGTTGGCAATAAAGTGAAAGTATTAAAAACTTTTAACTTCAAAAACATTAGGATAATTAAAAAAAAGTATTAAAAACTTTTAACTTCAAAAACATTAAGATATTTTTTTAAAATAATAATTATATTTTTATATCAAATATTTTTCTGTATACTACTATCTGATATTTTATATACAACATATCTTTTAATTAGAATACATTACCTAAACTATTTCTAAAAGAAAACTTACTTTAATTTCAATATCACCATATTTAGTTATACTTGCAACACAGTCTGATTCAACCAAAATAGTACTAGTATGTAAAAAAGAGTATTAAAAAATAAATATTTAATAAAAAGAAAAATTATGGTTCATTAGCAAATCAATCTATTATATATTTATTTCTATAAATAATTTCAACAAAAATATATATCTATGTTTTTCTATTTAGCCATTTTTTATTTTCGTTTTTGTTTTTGATTCATTTTTTCTTTTTATTTTGAACATCATATACTTGTTATTATGCATTTTATTGACCATTTTGTCGATATTTTGGTCAGCACAGCACAATATAGGTCGGCACAGTAACTATATGCAATTCTCACTTTAACATTAAAAATGGCAACTTTAAAAATAATAACTTAAAAAAAAAACTTGTTAATAATGAAAACAAATGTTTTATAATCTTTTAAGGTTTCCATGTTTGTGGAAGAAAAGTTTCTCACTTTAAAAAAGTAAAACAAAAAAAAATAACAAATTTTTTACTTAAAAGTGTAAAACTTTGAGTGTTTAAAATAATAACTTTTATAAAACTAATATAAAAAAAAAGTCTATTAGTAAAAAAAATAAAAAAAATGATAAATTGATAATGAATCTCAAAGAAATAAATTTATTGAAAAATTTTAATGTGTATGAGAACCAACATTCTAAAAAGCTATGAATCAACTAATACCCTAGACCTATTTAGCTCCTTTAGGGAAGTTTTCTAATAAATAAACCTACATTTTCTAACGAACATGTGAAATTAATTGAACTATATAGAACTTAATTGGAAAATTTTTTTTTTTTTTTGTATGATTACAATTATGCAACGGAACAATTTATCCCTATAGTCAATAAAAAGAAAGAAGAAACAAAAACTAATAGATTACTCCTCAATTGAAACATGAAATAAAAATTAAAAGCAAGTAATAGTTTTCAAATAAACTTATTAATTAGGAACAATTAAATTGCAATACAATTGCTCAAAAGTTGAAATCAAAAAAAATAAATAAAAGAAAACAGTAAGTCATTTGAGAGGGATATTGGTAATAATTGTAAATTAAATCTGAAGTTAGCTTATACATATATAAATGAAAATTTGTAAAAATCCATATTAGAACAATCGAGAACTGCAAAGAAGAAATAGTCACTGATCAAATGTCACAGAATAATTAAATAAGTACTTTATTCTGTTTATGTAGAAGATTTAAACATAAATATTGTTAATTATTAGAAAATGTCAATATATCACAAAATGATATAAAAACAAACTTGTTGAAATATCAGTTTTATATGCTTTATATTTATTATTTTAAAAATCTAATTCTTACCTGAAATTATCAGTAGATCAACTTATTATAAAACAGTTTTATATGAGAATAAAAACACATAAAACAAATAAAATAATATTAATATTATTATAATAATAATATTAGAAAATGTCAATATATCACAAAATGATATAAAAACAAACTTGTTGAAATATCAGTTTTATATGCTTTATATTTATTATTTTAAAAATCTAATTCTTACCTGAAATTATCAGTAGATCAACTTATTATAAAACAGTTTTATATTTATTATTTTAAAAATCTAATTCTTACCTGAAATTATCAGTAGATCAACTTATTATAAAACAGTTTATTATTTTAAAAATCTAATTCTTACCTGATATTTGAAAAAAGCAAACACAAAGTTTAAAAAAGGAAATAAGTTAAAAACAACAAATTACAGTCCTGTATCTTTTATATTGATTCCATGTAAAACATTAGAAAGAATCACTATATAATAATTTTATATAGAATTATATAATTATATAATAATTATAAATCATTATATATAGTATAAAGCAATGTAAATATAAAGCACTTAATATCAAGCAGGCTATTAGCAAAAGAACAGCATGACTTTTTGAAAGAAAAGGACTGGACACCGCAATTTTAACAGAAATCTTTGATGTCTTAACAGGGACATATTTCTAATTGCAGTTTTGAACACCATCTTTCAGAAAGCGTTTAACAGAGAATTACACATAAAATTATGTGCTAAGTTGGTTTATGATTATGGTATTGTTGGTATGCCTTATAAATGGATTGAATCATTCTTATTGAATAGAAAAAGAAGAGATTGGGTTGGTGTATAAAGATATTGATATCAAAGAACTTAAAAAATTTCAAAAAAGAGCCACTTAAATGATCACATAACTACAACATTTGGGATATAATCAAAGATTAAAAATAATAGACTTATATATTTATTAAAATGTTAAATGTTAAAAAAAAAATCATCATCAATATACAATATTAAGAAAGGCAAACTTTGCAGATGCTGGTTTTGTAATCTCAAAATTATGTTTTTCACTTTTATAAATATATACAATTTAATTTTTTGCACATGTGCGATTTAGCACAATTTAAAAAAATAAAAGAAAAAAGAGAAAAAAAAGTAAAAAAAGAAAAACTCTTTTTATGCTTCTTCTAAATCTATGAACCCTTAAAATATAAATTAGTATATATAAATAATATAAATTAGTATATATAAATAATATATAAATTATATAAATATAGCTATAACCCTTCATAGGCTTTAAAATCGTATATTGTAGAGAAAAAAAGATAAAAAGATCTACTATTGAAGCAACAAATCATCAATTTTGTAAAAGTGTTGAACACGATAATGGGAGTGTTTTGTAAAGAATGTTGAATTTTGTAAAGATTAAAAATTTTGTTTTTTTATGTTATTTTTTAATTTTGTTACTACTTAATTTCTTTAAAAATTTAACTTTATTTAATTTATTAATAATTAATTATAAATGAATAATTACCAATTTTTGTCTATAATAATAGCAGGTCCTTCTACTTTGTGACCATATGTAAGATTATTTAGTAAATAAACTTTGGTATCAATAAACATATTATCCAAGTAACATGAAGCAATCTACAAAAATAGGCAGTGGTTATAAAGGATTCATTTAATTTCACACACACACACACACACACACACACACAAACACACACACGCATACACATACAGATATATATATATATATATATATATATATATATATATATATATATATATATATATATATATATATATATATATATATATATATATATATATATATATATATATATATATATATATATATATATATATATATATATATATATATATATGGAAAATGCAAATCTGCATAACTAGTATTGGCTACTATATTTGAATATTAATAATTTTAACACCAAATACCTATTATTGACATAACAATGAGCATGAATAAAACTCTCTATGTTATAAGCTTAAAACCTGTTAAAATAAAAAATATATAAAGTTTTCCTTTCTCCAGTAAAAAATTTGCAGGGCAGATATGTGGTATTATCCAATGCCAGTTACGCAAATTTACACTATCACCGATAATATGTATGTATGTATGTATGCGGATATGTATGTATGTATGTATGTATGTATGTATGTATGTATGTGTGTATGTATGTATACACATACATAGCATTATATTTATTATTATTTCTAGTTATGATACATATTAAATTATTCAAATTTAATCTCCTCAAAGTTAAGGGAGTAAAGACTCCCCTTAAGAGTTCCCTTAAGAGTATCAACTACAATTGAGATTATTTTTCAAACTCCAAAAAACTCTTTGGGAAGATGTTTAACCAATATAACAGAAGCCTACAAATAAAAAGTTGAAAATTTATAACCAAGATAAAAAAACTTTTGATTCTTTTTCCTTTTCTATAGTAAACAAAATGATTGTAATTAACAAGTAGATGGATTAGTAACTATTTTTCTTTCTTTCTTTTTCAATTCTCAAGTATTTTTTGATTAAAAAGGGTTATAACAACATTAGTGAAATTGGCATGGAAGATGCTAATTTTCCAATTTGATTATTGGAGAGCAATATTTTTTTTCTTTGCATAAGCATATTTTAAACATAACATTTTTTTGAACCTTTTTTATGTTAAACACCTTGCTGAAATGACAACTACTGAATGCAATAAAAGCAATTTATTTCTTATTTGTGCCTCATATTGATTTAGCTGATCAACTTAAATAGTTGTAATAGATAATAACTGTAATAGATAATAACTGTAATAGATATTATATATAAGGTAATGTTACTGCCTAATATAGAGTTAACAACAGTTTGATGGTTTCTTAAAGAGGTAGTATGTAGATAGTTACTCGAAGAAGTACTTTGGTGTATAGGCTTATGATCTCACCAGATAGGAAGTGTTTTCCATAGCTTAGCTTAATTCACATCTTTAACAAAGTTAAAGTAGGTAGATAGTTACTTAAAGAAGTACTTTGGTGTATAAGCTTAAGACAAGATATTTTCCAAGATAGTTTGACCATGGACATTAGCTTGATTCACATCTTAAACAAAGTTAAAGTATGTATATAGTTACTTGAAGAGGTACTTTGGCGTATAAGCTCAAGATATAGGAAAGTGTTTCACATCTTAATGAATCTATTGATTCAATTTATTATTGAAAATTTTACATTTTATCAAATATTTGTAGTAACCATATATGTTAAAACCATATATGTTAATTTTAATTAATAAAACTACAAATGTCTTTAAACTATTTAACCACAAAAACACCATTATCAATTTTAATTATCACCATTTTTAATTACACCATTTTTAATTAGATAAATGTTATTTTAAAAAAAAAAATTTATTTTCAGATTAATAATATTATTAGATATAATTAGTAAAAATTTCAAGAATTTGAATGTGTTGTTCAAAATTTATAGCAAAATAAGTGACTTTCCATAAATTTTACATACATACATATATAAATGTTTATGTGCAGAAAGATAAAAAAAAAAAAAACTTTACCTTTTCAATCTTTGGAGGACTATCAGCCCTTGCTATTTCTTGTGCCTGAGGAACTTCAGACTTTGCAGTGCCTTTAACAATTATGTCATCTAATATGATTGATTTTGCATCAATAGTGAAACCAAATTCCCTTTTGTATCTCTTCAGAAAAGCTGCTTCAAAATCGCCATATTTAAAATCACAGATACCAGAGTCCTTAAAAAGAAAAACAATTTAATCATAATATGGTAACTATTAGCGCTAATTGTTATACGGTAATAATTAACACATGCAGCACTTAACTATAATAATTTTTAGCATTTTTAACAATTAGCACTATAACTATAATAACTTATGTTTGTATTAATAAGTTGCTATGTAACAAGCAAATAGTAAATTTAAAAAAATCCTGATAAAAAAGAAATCCACTGTAATAGCTGTAATTTTTTTATTTTCAGTAATAGCTCTTTTATTAGATATTATATTGAACAAATTGAAACTATTAGTGCATAATGAGCAGCCAAATAATCATTTTTTTCATCAGGTTATAGTTCAACAACAAATCAACTCTTACTATTCCCAATTATAGCCTCTGTTAATCAGACTCTTTTAAGAAACTTAGCCATCTACACAAACAACAAGCAGAATTATAATTGCAGGTGACACCAATATTTCAGAGAAAACTTGGACTTCAAATTCATTTGTTTCTTCTATTGGAAAAGTCTCTACTCATCATTTATCTCTATTGTTTAAGAGCTTTTCTGTTCAAGCTTTCAAACCTACTCATAGGCCAATGACAAACAACCTTGACCTTATCATCTGCAACTACAGATTGCACAAACCTAAATTTATGTGTTTGGATGAGCCAAGAGGGTCCTCTTCTTGGCTCATCCAAACACATTCATTTAAAAGCTTAGCAACTACAAAAAACAAACAAAAAATTCAACAAACTGATTAGTCATTTATCTTCAAGGACTTTGTGTGGAACAATTTTTCCAGCTCTGGCTCAATGAGTACAATGAATGTTGTTTTCAATTCATCCCAAATATGCAAAGTAAACAATTTTGCCAAAAAAACAATAAGTCTTTCAGTAGGCACAGCGTGCTTTAGGAAAATTATGGATGATTATGGTGAGATTATAATGGTTTGTGTATGTAAGTGTAAGGATCCAGATAATTGGATATTAGCATGTAGACAGTTTTTGAAGAAAATGATAGAGGTAGAAGTAAAAAAACTTGGTGAGAATGCATTACAGATGAAATGAAAAAGCTTCAGTTAAGAAAAGTAGATGTTCAAGATGTGTATATTGAAGAAACAACAATATAAGAAACATCCAACCTGTACTAAAGTGAAAACAAGAATGCTAAATCTGGCATCTTAAAACAAATAAAACTAAATATTTAAATTTAAAACAACAGTTTAGTAGGAGGTCAGCAGGAGGTCAATTTATAATAGGATATTTTAAACTGTATTTTATGTCAGGTTTTTACACAACACAATGTGCTAAACGATTGTTCCACTGTACATGTTTTAAATAAAGTTAACAAAACTAGTATGGCACACTTGGATATTGTGTAAAAGGTAAAAGTTGATGAAATCTTGGCTACTTTTATATTTTTGTTCCAAAAATCAAACCAATTTAGTGCCTCAGTTTCAAAACTATCTATACTGTGCACATAAGTTGTAGAAATTTTGTCTATAAAATTTTAGATTCAATTTGCTTAGGTTTCCCGGATTACTTTGATGCTCTATTTCCCGCATTGTCTTGGAATTATTGGAGGAATATTTGGGTCAGAAGATCTCTGTTTAGGGCTATAATAGTAAAATTTAATTTCTTTAATGCCAAAGTGCTAATAGTATTTTGTATCACTGAAACATCATTTATGTTATTAACTACAAAATTGAGTCTTAGGCATAGTGAACAAAAGCACCTTTAGGGTATTCTTTTTATTTTTGCCTGAACACCATTTTATTTCATAGCCATTGTGGAGCACCAATCATAACCTTGACTGAGCAGATTATTAATGAGAAGACCAAATTCTTTGCAATTGAACAATACAATTAAAAATTGAGGCAGCACCTATCTTTTAGCAGTAAAAACCCAAGAAAGTACTCATAAACCATAGCCTTCTCACTAGATGTGTTAACAAACCCCGCTCCCAATAATAACTTTTTAATTCCTAAAGCATCTGCTGTTTCATCGACTATGACAGAGAATCAACAGAATTGTAGGCATCTTGCAATGCTTTCTTGCAGAGCATGTTTAGCAGGGTTGGCAAAAACCCGGGTTTTTTTAAAAAAACCCGGCCCAGTGGGTTTTTTTAGGTTTTATTGGGTTTTATTGGGTAAATTTGGGTTTTTTTGGGTATAATTTTTATTTTGTCTCTGTAAAAAAATTTTGTGTGTTTTTGTTTATTGATATTGAAAATTAGTTTTTTTCTACTTTAACTTTATTTAAAATATATTTAATATATTGTTGTTTAATTATTTATAACAAGAATTTTTCAAATTATTTTGAAAAAGATTTTTAAATATAATTTAAAACTGTAATAGGAAAAAAAAATTTCACACTTAATCTATATGTATTGATTTATTTTAAATTTAAAAGTATTATTTTATATAATTAAAAATGTCAATGAGAAAATGTGAAAAAGAAGGCTTGAGAATGGGAGGTAGTAACTGAAGTTTCAATTAAACTTTGAACTTGAAATTCAAATGAACAAACTTGTTCCTCTGCGCAGCGGCCTTGTTTATAAAGATTCGTGTTTAGGAGTTAAAGAGTTTTTTTTCTTCTTTAAATTAATTCACCTCCTCAAAGCTTATGGTCACTACAGGCGAGGAGGCTACTTATTTGTGGTTATAACCCTCTCTCAACTCTATAACTCCGAAACATGAACCTTGACGAACAAGGCCGCTGCGCGGAGAAAGGAGTTGAGCGCGGTACTGCCAGGGACGTGGTGGGGATCAAACTCGGAACCTCTCACTTATGAAGTGAGCGCTCTACCACAACACCACTACCGCAAAAGAGTTGAGAGAGGGTTGTAACCACAACAAGGTAGCCTCCTTGACTGTTGTGTTGGCTTCTCTGGTCACTACTACTCATTTAAATTCAACTTGGGAGGTGAACAACATTATGTAATAAAAATCTCAATCGATAAATATTTGAATAAAAATTGTAATAATGTATTTCCAAATAATGATTCAAATAATAGTAAACCTGCTCTGATAGCTGTTATTGTTGGTTATAATAGTTAATAATAATTAAGTTAATAAAAATAGTTAATAATTATTTTAGTAAATAATATTATAGTTATAATGTTAAAGTTGGTTATAATAGTTCATAAACTTATTAAATATCTTTAAAAAAACCCAATAAAACCCAGATTTTCCAGGGTTTTATTGGGTTTTTTTAGGCGGGTTTTTTTGGGTTTTATTGGGCGGGTTTTTTTGGGCGGGTTTTTTAATGCCAACCCTGATGTTTAGACAAGTTGATTAAATTATTCTGAATTATCTATCTGATAAAGAATATTTTTATTTAAATCTTTTATTGTTGATGCAAAATGTCCATTGTCTTGTTGAGCCTCACAATGCCATACTGAGCTTGTATCACTTTTAGCATATTCATAAGAATGTTTATACTTTGTGAAAGGTTTAGTAATGAAGACAAATTGTAGTTCTTTTTCAACTTGTTGTGAAAATAAAACACAAAACACCCAAAGCACGATTTAAGTTTTAAATGGTTTTAATATTCACCTTTTAGGTGAATATGAAAACCATTGAGTATACTGGTTAAGCCAAGAAATCTTTAAACAACACTTTCAATTTCCAGAAATGTAACCTTTAAAATCGTAGGACGGATGAGGCTGGTTAGCAAACAATATTCCAAATCAATAGGAATATTTGAAGTACATTTTACATAGAGTACATATTTTACATCCAATGTCATATTCTAACCTAGTATTTTTGCTTTCAAGTTAGTCAGATTCTGGTTTTAAATTTGCTGATGATAAACAAGCAACATTATCTATTTTTAGTTTTTTTCAGATTTTTTTTATTAAATGAAAAATGGACCATCAAAGCATTAAAATATTTTTTTTCTTTAGATATAATATAATAGTATAGCTTACAAATTTAGTTTTGAAAAATTATTACTTATATACTTTTAAAGCTTGATTTATTACCACTCACTTTTGGGTAAGAAAAACCACTAGAAGAGTAAGTGTTTTAAAACTTAAAATTTCTAGTAATCATCATTTTTCAATTTGTAACAAAGTTTAGTTAATGAAAACTTTTAAAAAACTGACAAATTTTAACAATATAGTTTTTTTTTTTTATGATGATCTTTTTATAGTTTATTATTTATTTTATTTGTTTATTAACAAATTTTAATTTTTTAATTTACAAAATGCAGAGTATATATTTAAGTATATATTTGTAATTAATGGTAAGACACGCAAGTATGTTATATACATATCTGTATACAGATTCAATGTTAAAAGAGAAATATTTTTTTTGTTGAATTTAAATTTTCCAATATTTTGAATTTAATAATTCTGTTTATAAAAATACAGAAAGAAATACAGAAAAAAATGCAAAAGAAACAAAATACAAAAAGAAAAGCTGTGGATAATAGAATAAAAATTACCTGAAGATCAGCTGTAGAAACTACAATAAAAATTACGTGAAAATCAGCTGTGGATAATAGAATAAAAATTACCTGAAGATCAGCTGTGGAAACTAGAATAGCTACACTTGTTCCAACATACTTCATATTAAGTTGTGGTTCAAAAACTAAGCTCTCCCTTAATATCAAAAAAATATATACATGGACATATATATATATATATATATATATATATATATATATATATATATATATATATATATATATATATATATATATATATATATATATATATATATATATATATATATATATATATATATATGTATATATATATATATATATATATATATATATATATACACACACACAGACATGTATTGACACACATATATATAATATACATATTATATATATATATATATATATATATATATATATATATATATATATATATATATATATATATATATATATATACACACACACACATACATGTATTGACACACATATATATAATATACATATTATATATATATATATATATATATATATATATATATATATATATATATATATATATATATATATATATATATATATATATACACACACACACACACATACATGTATTGACACACATATATATAATATACATATTATATATATATATATATATATATATATATATATATATATATATATATATAATATATATACGCACATATATATATATATATATGTATATACATACACATACATATATATTTCAAATTTTTTCGTCATAATTTAAAAATAAACTTTTATTAATTATTCCTCTGTGACTACATAGTATGATTAACTCAAAAAATGATAACTAGTAATGGAAGGAAGAAAATTAAAATTTTAAGATAACATAACCATGCAAAAAATTTATAGACAAATAAGAAAAAAAAAAATTAGATATTTATCATTAATTCATATAATTCACATATTTATCACAGCAAATTAGTAATTTATTGGATAGCCTCTAGATTTTAATACTGCTAGACAACAACAAAGCATTGAGTCAACTATGTGAATAAGAGCATCTAGTGCAGTGCTCAAAATAAGTGCGGACATTGTCCGGTACTGTCCGGTAAAAAACGATATCTATCGGTCATTTTGTTCAAAATATATTTAATGTGCAATTATTTCCTAATCATTTTAGTTGTTCCAAAAATATTAATAAATTCAGTATTGTATATAAACTTTATCTTTTGAACTTTTTATTTTTTATATAAAACAAAATTGAAATTGAAAAAATTTAATAAAGTATTTTATAATTATAATTAATAATAAACAAAATACATCATTTTTTTGAGTTAATTTATTATTTAAAAGACGTCAAAGCATTACATTTTTTTGAATTAAGTAGCTTGGTTTTTATTACTCATGCAAAAACATTGCAATTAGTTATCAATTTAAATTTATAGTTAAGTATTTATTTTATATTTTGTCTGATGGTTTTTATAAATTTCAAACAAATATTTTAGCTTTTAAAACACCTTTTAAATTTATTTTATAAAAATTTTAACGTAATCGTTATTTAAATGCTTATAGAAACCTTTTTATTGCACTATTAGTTATGTAATGTTTTGCGCTAAAAAAATTTTTCTAGTGTTTCAAAAGTATTTATGAAATTTATCTCAGAAAAAGTTTTAAAAGTTTAAAAAAAAAAATACATATTCATATAAATGCTATTACGTATAAAATTCTTTGATAATTTAAATAAAATAGGTTTATTATAATCATTATAATTAATTTGTTACTTTATTTAATAAAGTAACAAGTAAACATAACAATTTATGTACTTAATATATTCGCATAGCAATTTATGTATTTAATAAATTTGTATTATTATTATACATTTTTATTACATATTTAATTATGTATTTAATAGTTACATAATTTATGTATTTAATATATTTACGTAATAATTTATGTATTTAATAATTTACTAAGCATTTTGCATAGTAAAGTAATTTTTCACAAACGTTATAAAAATATATTTTCCTTTTCAAATTTTAGTTTTTTGAGCTTCAACTTTTTCTTTTTCTTTAAGATTTTCATTTTATTATATAATTTATTTTAGAAATTTTTCTTTTTATTTTCAGCGCATTTTGAAACGCCTAGAGTTGTCAAAACAAATTGCGTGGTTAAGTTATAAAGTCAAAATATTTTATGCGTGGTCAGAAATAGCGTTCAATCGCACTTCTTTAACTTTTATCGGACATGTCCGACAAACTTAAGTCTTTATCAGACAAATTGTCCGGTAGTTTGTTATTTCGAGCCCTGATCTAGTGTGATATTTTTCCAACAAAATAAAATTACAAATTGACGATCGAGATGCTCCTAAATATGCTCTATTGGATTTAAATAAGGGCTTTGTAAAGACCAGTCCAAAACTCTAATTTTTTCAAAATTGAAAAAATTTATGATAGAATTTAAATAGTGCTTTGGACCATAGTCTTGCTGGAAAATCCTTGATTATCTCTAATTATGCATTTTAATCCATTATATCTTCGGTGTTTCAAAGTCTTACAGCCTCTATCACTTAACTAGTACTATAAATGTTAAATTAGCCGCATCATCTGGCAAACACCATAAATAAACATAAAAGTAATAAAAAACATTAATGATGCACGTGGAATTTTCTTTCTGATAAAAGAAGTTTTATTAAATTACATTAAAAACTTAATGTTTTAAACATTCAATATGATTGAAGATTGAGCAAGATTAATTCTTTTTTTAAAATAATTGTGATAAGGTTTATTTTCTTTTTATAATGATTGATGAGATTTATAATTATAGATGTCATTCATAATGATAGATGTTTTTATTTGAAAAATATTAGGTTGTTGAAGAACAGTTGCAAAATTTTACCAAAAATATTAAAAGGTAATACAATCAACATGAACTATTCTTTTCTGTATGTAAATATTCTTTAATAAGGGAAACAATATTTGCAGTAGAATAGATAAAAAAGGATGTTTGAGAAGATCGGATGCAGATGACATTTGCAATGGGTCTTTTTGCAAACAAGATTCTATAAATGATTTTAGCTGAGGTGATATCTAAACAATATAAACCTTTTTATAAAAGCATAATCCATAAAAATGCAACTGAAAAAAAATTGTAAAAAATATTAGTAGTTTGTGATAAACCATAAAAAAATGTTTTAATGTTTTTATAATCTTTCAAATTAGTACTTTTTCAATATCTTTAACTTGAGGCGCATCTTTAATAAAATAAACACCATATTTCTTGCTCAAAATGCATTTAATTTGGTAGCACTTTTGCGAGGAGCTTGTTTTGATTGTCTTAACAAAATTCTGACTTAATGTTCAGTAGTTATCTTTGGTCTGTCTGAATGATGCTTATGGGCTCTATATCACTTAACTAGTACAAATTTTACTATCAGGTATCCATCCTGATTTGCATTACTGAATGCCGTGATTTTGATGCAACAACAAGGAGGGTGTTTATATAAATGTTATGCACCTGACAAAAGAATGTATGTATTTATGGTTGTTGCTATATATTAACTCATTAAATATACAGCTTACAAATATCAGAGTCAACTTATTAAATATACAGCTTACAAATATCAGAGTCACATTACAAAATCTGTTGATAATCTTGCCAAGTTATATAGTGACTTCTAACAGCTACAATTCACTGATGTGCAGAGCACTATTATTGGAAACATAGCTAATATGATGAGTGACAAAGTTGCTACAAAACATGCAACAGTTACTAAAATAAATCTTTTTTAGCAGAAATCATTAAATGACACAATGATCAGTTCTTGAAAGTCTTCACTCAAAGCATTAGAGACCTCTAAAGGAAAACTTTTTGGAAGAAAATGCATTGTAGAAATTACTGTTTTACAACTGAACAAACTTTTGCTTCAAGGATGCAAAAGGTACATGTATAATCTTAAACCCACTTTTCACTTTAATACAATTTAGTGAATTATAATTTTTAAACCTAAAGTAAATTCTTTTAATTAACATATAAATGCTTTTTACTTCACATGCTCCTTATGCTCTTTAAAATAATTTACTTAATTTTATTTAAAGATGAGCCAAAGGGTTTTGTAGCCTTTTTGGATCACCACAAGTTGCACAGAGGATTGCTACCAAGCTAAGGAGGGAACAGACTACACATTCATTTTCACACATGTGATTATTGGATTCATTGCTATGTAATATTAAAGAAATTTCTGTTTTCTGGCTTGGCATTATGCAAAGGTATTAGATATAGTTTGTTCCAAGACTTTACATCTGAAACAGGTTAATCCTTCATAGGATTGTTTCTATTTTTATACACATTCAGAAATCAAATTGATAGAAAAAGGCACAATAAATGGAATAAATCTTTAAAACCAATAGTAATGACACTTGCAGAAATAGTTAGCAGATTATAGATTATTAGAGACTAATATCATTGTTTATTATTTATAACCTTTTTTTCAGATATCAGTGAGTTATGTGCCCATAACTTTATTTGGAAAGCTACTGAGATGTCCTTGGATGACAAAATTTGATATTGCAGGCCAGGGACTTGACTACATATCTGGCATTAAGATGGTCTAAGATGTTCGAAATGGTCTTTTTGAGAGCAGCAAAAATCCTTTAAATCTAATTAAATGAAAAACTGATTTTTTCAGAAACATTAAAGATTTTCTTTCTGATTCAATAATCAGCTTTTGCCTAGTAACTGATGAAATGAGTAAAACATTTGCTGTCTATTGTTATAGCATTCTGTCTGAATGCTATTGTTATAGCATTCAGACAGTGTCATTGACAGGCAGTACAAGTAACAGTTCAACATGAGTTCTAATAATCAACTTATGAACCAGACTTAATCAGCAAGGCTTTACAGCATTGACTTGGAAGAACTAATGGGTATGTTTAGCGATGCAAAGCAAAAAATTCCCAATGCCACACTTAGTTTTCTTTCTTCAAAACTTCAAAGTAAAAATAAAACAACTGTTCTACTTATCAAAAAGCCTACTGATATTCAAAACTACTTGATATTATGGATCATCTCTAATGCCAGAAAAACCTGGTTTGCAAATGCTTAATGTCATAAAGAAATGATGTCAGAACTTATAAAGCGTATGGCAGACAAAATTCAAAATAAGAAGGACAAAGAACAGAGGAGAATAGAAAAAATTTAAAAAAATTGTATGCTTCAAATTATAAAAGAAACGTTTCCTGAACTAGAAAATAACGAGGCTTTCATTTTTGAAGAAATTCTTACTGCAACTGCTATAGGAAGATGTATTTTGGTTTGACAATGCCACTAGCAGCCAGAGTGTTTATTATGGCAGACTTCTTAGCATTAAAAAGAAAACAGTGCTATACACATATTTTCTTAATGGAAATCAAATGAGAATGAGGATGATGATGCTGTTGAGTAAGAAATGAGCAAATACCAACTATCTGCAGACATCATAAGTGGTAATATGGTAATATCATAAAAAATTGATGTGCAAACTGATTGTAATAAGGTATGTGTTATTGTTAATCATAATATGGTTTATATACTCACATTAATAGGTTTCATTTACAGATAAAAAGTAAGTTCCTTGCTTAGCAATACTTGATTTATATATTAGATCTTGTTTTGGGTAATCAGGTAGTTACTGACATTCAACAACCCTGGTTGACTTGGTTGCAACAAGCTGTGTGTAACCAAAGCTCATTTACTATTACCTTTGAGCCATTTACATGGCTCCAGATATTCTGTTTCTACTTAGAAAAAAATTTTTTTGTCTGCATGGATACTGAGATGTTAGTGTTAAGTAATTTAAACCAATCAGTATACTTTGAAATCAGTTTTTTTTATTGTTGTTTGTATAAACCACATCTTTTTTTTCTTCAGAAAACAAATACCAATGGACTCACTTGCTTCTATTGAAGTTTCTGTTTTAATCGTATTATGTGTTATGCATCAGAAGTTAAGTTATTTTGATTTATTATTAACCTTGAACAAACCCTCCTTTTCCCCTAATTTTTAAGTTTTTTTTTTAGTAATTATTTTAAATATCTGATGTAATTTATCTTTCATTGCAAGGTCTTAACTCAAAGCATGAAAACTGTAAAATAGACTATTGCTTCTACAAATTTTTAACAGGTCAAAAAAGAAGTTACTTTATACTAATAGATTAAATTATGCAGTAACAGCAGTTTATTAATTTTTTATTAACATTATTATTAACAGTTTGATCATATAATTTTTTTCAGGACTTCCCTGTTATTTAATTTAAATTTTTTATTACAAAGTATAATTTAAAATAAATCTTTTATTTATTAGGGTAGGAGTATTATTTGATTTAAATCAAGGCAGTGTACAATACATATGCCTATTTTCTTAATACATATGCCTATATCTTACTAAATACTAACATTAAGTATTATTAATCTATATAAATACTAACATTAGGTATTTTCGATAGTCAAAGTAACTAAAAACTTTTTATTAATTTTTAGTATTTATTTATTTAGTATGGTTAAGTTATTAAATTAGCTATAAAATAATGTGGCTTGCATAATAAGAATAGCACGATGGGAAAAACAGGCCTTATTTTTCCCTAAAACTATTGCTATTACGCAAATCACATGATTTTTCAACTTTTTCAATAAATCAAATTTTTGCTTGCGAAAAATAAGTAAAACTATAGAGGTATTACTATTTTGTAATATATATATATATATATATATATATATATATATATATATATATATATATATTGTTGTTTTATGATTTAGTATTAAAAATACTAAACTCTTGATCGTTGTAGAGTGCTCAATATTTAAGAAATATTTAGTGTTTCAAAAAATATAAAAAACCGTTTGAAAATTACAAACTACAGTAAAATGAGTTCTGACCTCTTAGTACAAGAAGATGTAATGGAAAACTAATCTCCGCTGTCAAATAATGAAAGGAGAAATTTATTTTTGTGCCTACATTTCGAAACTACTTCGCCTCTTTTATTTAGCAGATTAACTCCTTTGTAAAATAATATTTCGAATTTCTCATTTAAACAAAGCTTACAAATTTTTGACGCAGGATTGTATGATTTACAGCGTTTAATTATATTCCATTTGATTGAAGATGTAAAATTATTATCTTTTAAATCCCATACTTCCTTAGATAACTCAGTGTCGTTCTTGTACTTTTTTATGTTGAAGGATTTTAGATGGTTTGCATAACCTAGCTTAAAAGAGGTTTCGCTTATCCCAATGTATACCTTATCTTTGTATTGAGGTTTATTTGAGCTTACGGTGGCTTGGTAAACGATGTTGTTACACAAGCAATTGTTGTTCAGTGGACAATAAGATTTTTTAATGCAATTGCAGGCTTTTTCTGATAACTTTACATCACCATATAAAACATTTTTGTTGTGTGAGATGATGATAGATTTATTGATTGGCATGCAGGAGTAGCTTATTTTAATTGTGTTTCTGTTAAATATTTTGTGTAGGTTGTGGTCTTTAGGAAAATGCTTGTCAATTAGGGTTAAAAAGCGTTGACCAATTTTGGTTGTAACATTTTTACTAAATGGAGGATTGTATCAGATTATACTTCGTTTGTGGCGATTTTTTGGAACATTTGTTATGCTTGGTTTATATGCCAACTTATAATTGTATCCCGATTGCTTTAGTGCGTCTTCAAAAAGATGTGTCGACTTATTAAAAATAACTTCACTTGATGAGTTGGCGGACAATCTTAGCTCAATATTTTTTGGAAGATTGTTGGTTAAAAGGTGGATGGTTAAAATCAGCATGTACATAACTTAGCTTATTATCAGGCTTGCAGTATGGTTGGAATGAATTTTGAGTAAGATTAAAAGTTAAATCAAGGTAGTTTACAATTTAAGATTGCAATTGATAGAGATGTTGAGATTGTTACGTTTAAAAACTTGAACGACATGTTTTTTTATTTGTTGCATTTGATGGCCATTTTTGTTCTTGAAAACAGCTAACCCATCATCCTGATATAGACCGAAATCATTTTTGTTGTAAAACTGCGAAAGTTGATCTAAAATAAAATCCCGACTAGTTCGCAAACTTCTGCGCCATCATAGGCTCCCATGGTAACATCAAACAATCCTGCAATCCTGTTAAAAATAAAAGATTTTCTTGCATGACGTATAATGGATTTGCTTTGCTCGTCTATTATTATATGTTATTTGGCAAAAGTAATAGCGCTATTAAGTATTTTTTCATCAATTGACGGATAAAAATCATTTATGTCAAATACTAAAAATTTACAAAGGTGTTTATCATCAATTTTTTGGAATCAATTTATTACATTCTGCGTATTTTGCCATTGGTTTAAACAGAGCCTGGTTCTTAATTCTGAGTTGATATTGGATAAAATAAGCTTTGACAGTCTTCCAACCTCATTCTTTGCAGGATTTAAAAGACGCACAGTAGGGTTGTTTAGGAAGTTGGCTTTATGGTCTTTTAAAGTTATAAAACAATCAGCAGTTCCGTTTATTTCGATTTAATTAAAAATATCATGATTTTTTAAAATTTGCTTACTTTCTTTATTTACTATGTCCTTTAGTTTTATATCGGCCTTTTTATAAATAGAAGCGATTGCGTTTTTTAGAAGGTGGTTGTAATCATCTTTAGAAATTTTGTACATGTTGGAAGTTTTGTCAGCTGAAGTTAAAGTTTTATTAGATTTACGTAAAGATTTAATGTCATTATTTACTTTTTCTTGAAATGCGTTATTGAGATTGCAAAATTTGATAGTTTTAATGAGATTTATTATATTTTTTTCAAATAGTGACATTTCTTTAATAGTTAGTATAGTCATTGAACTTAGACGTATCACCGAATTTGTTAATAAATAAAATATAAAATAAATAAAATATAAAATAAATAAATAAATAAATAAATAAATATATATATATATATATATATATATATATATATATATATATATATATATATATATATATATATATATATATATATATATATATATATATATATATATATATATATATATATATATAGATAGATATATAGTTTAAAAAATTTTCACACTTTAAACCATTTATAAAGTTAAAAAACTAAACTTCATACATTTGCTATGAATGAAATTAATATTTATTAGTATACATAATAATGTATTAATATATTACTTTGAGAATCCATGGGCAACAAGATCATTCTCGCATAGCTTGCAGAGAGCTTCAATCCTTTCTTCGATTGCACGGAAATTAGCTAAACAAGAATAGTTCAGTTTTGATTAAAAAAGCCTAAATTACTAAGGGAGTTATACCCAGAAATACAAGTTGAATAATTTTGATAAAATGTTTAATTTTAGAATCTTTAGAAGTTTAATAACTTTTTCAAAAACTTTTATAAAACTTTTTATAAAATTTTTATAGAATTTTTCATAGGCCAAAATATAGGTCATGTTTCATACTATAAAGAATTTTTTTTTTCTGGGGAGACCTATTTGACAGAAAGATGTCTATAAATTTTTTTTTTTTTTTTACTAACTTTGATATTCAAAGCAATATAACTATAATACTAAAAAAAGCCTCAACTCTGACTAAAAAAAATAAATTTTGGTTAAGGTTGGGTTACACATAATAAAACTAAACAATATATACAATAATGTACAACAATAAATCTAATAATATCTTTTATTCAGAAATCTCTCTAGTTGTGTGTGTTTATATATATATATATATATATATATATATATATATATATATATATATATATATATATATATATATATATATATATATAATATATATATATATATATATATATATATATATATATATATATATATATATATATATATATATATATATATATATAAACACACACAACAAGAGAGATTTCTGAATAAAAAGATATTATTCAGATATATTAAACTAATTGCACAGTCCTTAAAACCCTTAAACAGCAAAAATGTAAAATCTGCAATGCCTCCTTTTAATAGTTTTAAAAATTAAATTTAAAATTTTGTCTGATCTGTCTGCTATTACTGAAAATTTGATTAAGATAAATTGTGAACAACCATCAACTTCTAAAAAGTTTAAAATATAAACTGACAATAGTATGAAAAAATATTATAACTAAAAAATTGAAGATAATTTTACCCTAATGTTTAGTAGTATTTTAATGAACTCTACAAACAATAAACAAATATGTTAATAGTAATGGCTTTGACGTGCCTAAAAGCTCTTATCAAACGAAATGCAACTTTATAAAATAAAATAAAATAAGATACAGTATTATCATAGATCTAAAGAAAAACGCAAAATTTTTACTCTCAGTTTAAATTTCATTTCTGAGAATAGATAGTTCAATGTTAGACTTCATGTTCTTGTCAATAATTTGACAAAAAAAAATTAAATAAAGTAAATTAGGTTTAGTTCACATAAAAAATACATGTAATGTAAAACAAAACAAAACTATATGTTGAAAACAAGTTGAAAGAATTTAAAATTATAATCAAGTCAGATATAGTATCATTAACAATGATTGAGCTGCAGTTATTGTCAAGTATAGAAGGATATTGGGTATCAGTTTGGATTTAGCAATAACCAATGTACTGTATAAGAAATAACAACCAAAATTTCACGAAGAAGACTAAGAAATAACGGTTTTTGATAATATTAGAAAAGATGTAAAAAATAAAGTTGTTGAAAAAATTAATAGTGGCAAATAATTTTAAAGATGCTAACATAATCTGCAAACTAGAAGAAAACATCTAAGTTCATAGATCTCACCAAAGATTTTCAAAAAGTTATACAAAACTTCTAAAAAATTATAAAGTGATAAAATCATTTTAATTTAAAAACAACATTTTAAAAGAAGTTCTTAGGGAAAAATAGAACAAGACATTGCTATTAACAGCAATGTTATTTATTCTATTGTTAGGAACAATAGAACAAAGCAGTCGATACTAAATATCAAAACCTGTTAAAATTCATTGATAACCTTGCTCTAACAATTCTTTCAAATAAAGAATCTTATAAATAGAAAACTGCAAAATAAGAAACTGTATGAGTTAATTTTTGATTTCTAAAGGTGTTTTTTGATTTTTTAATCTTTTGATTGTTAAAGGTGTTTTTTGATTTTTAAACTTTTTGATTGTTAAAGGTGTTTCTAAATTAATATTTGAAAGCATAGATAAATTATAAATAAATATTAGTACAAATTTATTGTTTTATGAAAAATTATGAAAAGAAAAATTAATAGTTCAAAAGAATTTTAACAAGCATTATAAAAACAATTGCAGCATAGCAAGGATCATTCCTGAAAGACATAGACCTAGTTACAGTGACAATATTTAGATTTAGATTACAGATTTTGAAGTGTAAGTGAATGTTTTATTTAAATCGTAACATTTTTAATAATAAAATATTTTTTGTAAAGGCGCCATTATTTTTTGTTTCTTTAAAAATAGTTTTAAAAGTGGAAACATATATTGCAAACATTAAACCAGTGATTATAGCAAACATTAAACCAAAAATTAAATTGATAAAAAAATAAATTACTTTATTCTGTTTCTAAAGAATTAGTGAATGATAACACCAACTTTGATGGATTTCAAAAAAATATTTTTTTGCAATTAGATTTTTTTGTGCTAATTGGAATCTTGAACAAGATCATGAAAACTGAGTCACCAGGGCAATATTCAAATTGCCAAGTTTAAAATATGAAACAAAAAAGCAGTAAAATGATTCAAAGGAAAGAGTAATGTGGAATTACCAAATAAGACTTAAAATTTTTTTAAACAAAGCTTCAAAATATAATTAGAAATTATTTTAACTTCATTTATTTTAAATAAATTGATAAAACTAATCTTTAATTTTAAAACAAGTTTTAAAATTAATAAATAAAAATAAAAATACCTTTTTCATATATGTAAGCAGTTGATTCTTGCTTTTCACAGGAAACATTTGCCAAAGCTATACCATAAGCTGATAATAAACCAGAATATCTATTATGAAAGCATTAAATGAATATAGAATACTAAGTAGATATTTTTATTATATATTATATAATAATATAATAAATAATAAAATATAAAAAAAAACTAATAATAAAAATAAATACATTAAAATAGTATTGTCATAAAAATACAAGGAATATATAATACCAATAATAATACACCATACTTTAGTAACAACCCTTTATAAATTTTTTTGACAAGGAGGCTTTTAAAGCTTATGCAAATTGCAAAAAAATATCCTTGATGAAAACAAGATGACAAAATGATAATTGATTTTTTTAAATAAAATCTTTTCAAATCTTTTGTTTTAAATAAAATCTTTTTCAAATCACCCTTTTTGTATTTAACTATTGGTATAAACTAAAAATTGCTTTGTATGTTTTTCTAATGTAACTTTGTAGTAACTGTTCTATGCTTTAAAATTGCTAGCTGTTATTTTTTTAATATTATATTAGCCATATGCTTGTTAACATTTTTCAAATGCATTGCTTTATTTAATGTTATACAATAATATTTTAATTTTTTATTACATTTTGAGACTACAAAGGTCTTCTTCGACTAGCATTTTTAAAACAACAATTCGTTTATCAAGCCACAAAGTTTATCCCTTTAACTTGTAATATATTTATATGTTACAATTTACTTGTTTACTCAGTTTTTCTCTGATGTAACTCTGTGAAACTGTTCTATGCTTTAAACTTGCTTTTTAATGTTCTATGCTTTTGGACTTATAAACTAAAGTATGTAAGTATGTCAGGATGTTAGCCAGCTTAATGGAACAGTATATATTGTAGAATTCCAAATGGGTTTGAAACTCCCGAAAATTCAATAACCTTTTTTTGTGAAGTAATTGGACAACTTTAATAAAAATTTCCAAGATTTTGTAGAACAATAACAAATATTCCCAATATTGTAAAAATGTGGTAAAAAATATATTCAAGGCTAAAACCCATGTTTTTGTATTCTGTTACATATATTTATTTATTTTTATATTTAACTCATCTTTTATATTTCTTTTAATATTTACATATTTTTATCTTATAGCTTCCTATTTAATTAATGAAATATACACAGGTTAAAACCATATTAGTATACAAACATGTGTGAAATAAATTAATTGAAATTAGTTAAAAATAATAACTTGAATTAAGTTTTGACTCATTGAAAAATAAAAGATTATTTTTATAGAATTTTATTTTATAATTTGTAACTTTATAACTATATTATATACTAAATGAAATTTGATAGTTTAAATTATGTTATAGACTTACTTATGAATAAAAATGGTTGACATTCCTAAAGCTTTCGCTATAGCACAAGCATGTTGACCACCAGCTCCGCCAAATGAAGCTAGAACATGTTTAGATGTATCATAACCACGAGCCTCAGTTAAAACACGAATTGGCTTGCACATGGCTTCAACTGCAATTGTTATAAAACCCATAGCTATTTCTTCTACAGACTTGTTGTGAGAAGGATCAAATGCATTGATCTAAATATAACAACTTTAGAACTCAAACAAATTATAAAAACAAAAATAAAAAAAAGGCTTTATTTACTGAAACCATGGCCTACTTAAATTACACGGCCTGATTTGTTGCATTTTCCGTAAAAAATTAAGAGGCCAGTTTTTTTACGGCTCAAGTATAAAAACTTAATTTTTGTTATGGTTAAGTGTCTTGTTTGCACCATAATTGTTTTATTTTTATTTTATTAAAATGGTTTAATAATAGTTAGATTTTCTTTGAGTACTTACATTAATTTGTTGCTAGATTTTCTGTTAACTGATTGCCTGCTTCAGTTTATTCCAACAATACAGAATACTGAAATAGGCTTCCAGATAACTATATCAACCCATACCAACATGCTACTAAAAATAATCTCTCATGTTGCTTAGATTGCCTAAAACTCTCCATTGAGCAAAAAAAAGGTTTGTAGTTTTGTATTTTTTATAATTGAAATAAAAAGAAGAAATACATTTTTGCTAGAAATGTTTATTTTGTCTTTTTTGGAATTCTTTTACTTGATCTTTTTTAAATGAATATGTAATTTTTTTTTTGCAAATTACTATAAAATACAATACGCGATCTATATTTGATTCCCATTTTTGGTGGTTTTTATTTGTAAAATTGAAACTGCTAGGTCAAACCTTTAAAATTTGTTTCACAAATTTTTAATTAAAAAAAGAATGACTGCAATGTTTTATTAGAATAAGAGAAATAACATAAAATACTAAAAAGATGACAAATAAAATTAGACAGAGGTTGAATTGAATATATAGGTTCTTCTCTTTATAAAGTAATGTTTATTGATCATAAGTTTAACATCAAAATCTTTTTGTTAATTTTTACCATTATTACTTGCTTTAGTATATATATTTGTGCTATCTTCAGAAAGCGGACAGTAGTATTTATGTAGACAACTAAGCAATATCTTGCATAATATTTTTTAAGGATTATCAAAATTCTGGTAAATATTTTCTGGGAAAATCTGCCAAAATCTTTTTACTTATGTACATTTCTAAAAGGCTCACAAAAAGTCTACTATTGGGCATTTAACGATACTTAGTAAAACCTAGCTCCAAAGGATCTTTTTGTAAATTAAGTATAAACAAATGTAAAGCCTTCTTCAAGGAAATCATGCATAAGAAATACAATTGCGTGTAGTGTTGTAATTAGAGCACAAGAAGTTTGTTTGGTTAATGTCAGGTATTTATTAAATTTTATTTTGATCAAATTTCAGTACAATTTGCAATTTCTCTATAAAGTGTGGGTTTGTTATCACCTTTCAAAGCAGCATTGCTGAGTTTGATTAGATGAATTAGGTTTCTGCTTTGAATTAAGTATGATAACTTAAAAAAAATGATAGTTGTGCTGCGTTATTTCTTTCATAAAAATAACTCTAACTTAGCAGTTGTAGCTGCAGTTGTTTTGTCAAATATTGTCGATGTTGACAACTTGTTTGTTGTTACCAAAATATGTGATTTGATAATTAATTTTTCTTGCTTTTTCTTGCTTGTTTAATAAGTGATCTTTTAATAAACTTTAAGAAATATATTCCCTGCAATGTAATCAGCAGTAACTTCAACAAGAAGAAAAAAACAAAAACCAAGTTTATCAAATAACAAGTATATTTTAAACACTCCTTTTCTAAACTAAATGATAAATTAATAATTTTCCATCTCCAATATATGCTTTATGAATCTATAAAAATGCATTAACATTTGTAAAATGGTTATCGGTAACAATAGTTCTTATCTTAAATTCAGATTGGTACATTGAGGTAATACACTCATCAATTTCTTTTTTCAAACATAAACCTGTTATGTAAACTTTAGGTTATGATTTCAAAACATAAGAATAAATTTTTAAAGCCCTACAATCATAATAACAAAAACAAATTCTTTATAAAGATTGTTTTCTTAATCTTCATCAAAATGTTTACCACTTTGGGCTGCTTTTTGGAAGTACACCTTACCCACAAGAAGCAAATAATCTCTTAATACCAAATTTTTGTCAATGATTTTTCTAATATATTATAGTTTTTCAATTTGTATTTTTTACCACTGCGAAACCATTTAAATAAAGAAGAATGATAACCATTTATTTGGCAATGAAAAAAATTAGAATTTTATTAACAGCTATTGACTCCAAAACAGTTAGTATGCCTGATATTTCTTGGCTACTGTAAATAAATAGCCTGATTTGTTACATTTTAATTGCTGTATGTTTGAGACATGCAGCATAATAAAGTATTTACAATGCAAAACCTTGTTTTGCAGTGTAAATAATTTAAAGAAAAGTTTATGTTTTCTACCTAATAATTGCAATTATAATAAATAAAAAATTACAAACCTTTAAAATTATTTCCAATGGAGAGTTGTGAATAGTTTTAGCAATATGTAAGATTATTTTTAGTAGCATGTTAATATGTGTTGATATAGCTATCTGAAAGCCTATTTCAGTATTCTTTGTTATTGGAATAAACTGAAGCAGGCAATCAGTTAACAGAAAATCTAGCACAAAATAATTTAAGTAATCAAAGAAAATCTAACTAATAATAAACCATTTTAATAAAATAAAACAATTATAGTGCAAACAAGACTCTTAACCATAACAAAAATTAAGTTTTTATACTTAAGCCGTAAAAAAAACTATCCTCTTAATTTTTTACGGAAAATGCAACAAATCAGGCCGTGTAATTTAAGTAGGCAATGCTGAAACATTAAAACTAATAAAAATGAATAAATTTCTAATATTTATTCAAATCAAATAATTATCTAATTTAATATAAATTTACAAAAATTTAAATACTTATTTATACAAATATAAATAGTAAATAATTTTAATAAATCAATAATTTTAATAAATCATTTAAATTTTTTTCACTTTTATTTATTTATTTATTAATAAAGCTGTGGCTGTATTAATACAGCAAGTGTGATTTACACACTGAAACAGCCATTTACAAAAATAAGTTGCTTAAATTATCGTTCTTTTGTTGATACTTGTCGAGATTGTTTTTGAACTCATTTAAGTTATGAGAATCTACTACTTTATCTGGTAGTTCATTCCATGCAGTTGCTGCTCGTTTAAGGATATAGTTTTGTCTGGAAGCACTTTTAGTAAATTCAGCTCTGTATCTAAAGTTGTGTCCGCATGTCTTAATCTGATTATTTTGTATGTTTATTTGCTCTAAGAAGTTATACCCATGTAAGATTAGATTTATATTATCTATTTTAATGATGATTTAAAAAATTTGTATCAAATCACCTCTTAATTGCTGAGTTAAAAGTGTTGTTAGATTTAAACTCATGAGTCTTTCTTCATGTCATCTTTTTAAGAGAAGGAATTAGCTTAGTTGCTCGCCTCTGTACTCATTCTAATATAGATATATCTCTTATAAGGTAAGGAGACCATACAGCAATACCGTATTCAAGATGTGAACGGAAAAGTGTAGTGTAGAGAACTTTAAACATCTCTTTATCAATGTAACTAATAGTGCATTTTAGCATACCAAGAGCTCGATTTGATTTAGACGCAGAGCTAATTGCATGTTGTTTCCACTTAAGATTAGCAGAGAAACTGATACCTAAATCTTTCTCATACATAGACTTTTTTAAAGTTATAATATTGTCATTGTTCGAATCGGGTATGAAGTAATCGTGCTTTGGATTGTTTTTCCCTATATGCATAACACGACACTTTTTACTGTTAAACTTGATCAGCCATTTTTTTGACCATTCAAATGCCTTGATAAGATCATCTTGAAGAGCTGGTATAGAATTGTTGTTACATATTTGATTGTCAAATGCTTTAGAATGGTATAGAGCTGGTATAGAATTGTTGTTGCATATTTGATGTCAAATGCTTTAGAAAACTCGAGGTAAATAATATCAGCTGAGTTATTGTTCTCCATAAAAGTTGATAGAAAGTCTCTTGTTATTCATGATTTTCTAGGCAAGAACCCAAAATCAAATTCGGGAATTAGATTTGAATCCTTATTTGACAAATACCGAATGAAACTGAGTATTTAAGATATTAGTAATATTAAGAATATCGTTACAGATAAAATCATTCATAAAGCGATTGGATGCAGTTATTTATATTTTGCTTGTTGTTGATGTATTGATATAGAAGCTTCGGACATAGCTTTGCTCTGGAAACTAGGTTTTTCTCAAATTCATACCTTGCTTTCTTTGCTTCTTGTTTGAGAGAGTGTTTTAGTGCTTTACAGCCATTAATTTTGTCTTCTCGTTTCTATCCACTGGCACAACTAAAGTAAAAATGGTTTTTCCTTTTCAAGCTAGATCAACGATATGTTTATTAGACCATGGATTAACACGAGGACATGTAATGGAATATGGAACAAATTTTTCAATTGTGATATTATAGTAATATAAAAATACATAATACATTTGATTGACTGTTTATGTTGTCCAAAGTTATGTTGTCAAAAAAGATTTTCATATCTTTGTAATTTCCATGATTAAAAGCTAGTTTTGGTATTGTTTGGGAACATGAACTACTATGATCTATTGAAAGGACTAATACCCAAGTCAGTATTAGCTGACCTTTATCGCAGACTCCAAGCATTGGATTATATCTAAGATTGCAGACCCGATTATGTTGTTCAGTAAGAATCAAATCAAGTGTTCCTGTGAAAGTGCCATCTTGCACTTAAAAAGGTGGGGCATCGACATTTTGAGTTAAAAAACAACCTTTAATTATATTTATAAATGAGTGGTTCGGCAATCCCTCGTTATTAAATAATTGGTATACGCTTCCATTTTTCCAAAATATTTTTGGAAACTTAAAGTCTAATTTTTTAACATTTTTCTTGAAAAATATAAAAAAATTAGGTAAAAAAGTATTAAAAATATGTTTAAGGTTTGCAATAAATTTGAATACTATAAGAATAAAAAATAAAAAAATCAATTCTTATTACACTGGTAGCTTAAATAAATGGCACAGCTGTTTGTATTCCTTAAAGTATAGTGTTTTCTATCATTTAACAAAACCTTCCAATACAGTGTTTAACTTATGTGCTTTAAAATTGTTTTCAAATTATGGCAAATCATGGTTGCACTCTCCTCACACTAAATTTTTTGTTAAAAAAAGCAGCAAAAGATTATCGTAAGGAGAAAAAGAAATCAATAATAAAGACATTTTTAGTTAACTTTTTACATATTTTATTTGTAGGAATGGTCTTAAAAAATGTTATTGATTTTTGATAGACAGCGCCTAACACTAAAAGTAAATTTAAAGAAAAATTTACTAAAAGTAAATTAGTTTTAGGCAGTGCCCAAAAGATAAAAGTAAATTAGTTTAAAAGTTTAAAAAAATTTTATGCTACTCTTAAAAAATATTTTAATTAATAAATGAATTGTTAAATAATTAGCTGATCATTACTTACTTCTTTTGATAATTCTTGGAAAGCTCTGTAAGCACCTTCTCTGTCCAAAGGTTCATTTTGACCTGGTCCAAAAATATGTGGAAAAAACCTGAAAACAAAAACTTTTTTATTTATATGACTTTGCGCGGGTCAAACAAAGGTAAGAACTTAAAATGTATGTTTATCAAATACTCTCTGAGAGATAAGAGAGATAAGAATAAGATAATAAAAGAGAAAAGAATTTTTAAGAAAAAAGCATGCAAATATTTTAAATTTATAAAAAAAAAATGCTAATTTAAAATAAATAAAAAATACAACAGATAACAAACTAAACTTAACTCCTTAAAGCTTTTGATTATTGTAAATTTTGAATGCAAGCCGCTGGTAATGGCTTTCGAGTATGCTACAAAATTTATCTTGTTTTGTACATAAATTTTCATTCTAGACACATATAACTTGTTTTTTCTTAAAGTTTAATTAATTCTCTACATAATCAAGAACAAATAAGAATCATATTATGTAATTATGATAAGTTGACAAAATTAAAAAATCTTGAGTAATACTTGATTAAAAAAACTTTTTTAAATTTATTTCTAAAATAAAGCAGTGTTAATACTGTAAAATTTATAGAAGTGTATAAGTATTTAGCTAAGTAATTAAAAATTAAGTAATAATTACTTTTTTTGAAAAAAAACGTAATTACTACTTTTGAAGAAAAACGTTCTTTTTATACGTAAAATGAGTTTTGTTTTGGACTAAATGTTTTAGTTATTATTTATTAAAAACTTATTTAATTGCATTTTGAAAATGCATTTGTTTAGCTTTCTATTGATAGCTTGTTATGCTTTTAAAGAGATTTACTATTTGAATTTTAATTAGTTGTCTATGTTATGCCATCCAAATTTTATTTTAAAAAATATGTGGGTGCAGCGATTTTTTTTAAAACGGCTGGTAGCGAAAGAGTTAAGTAACAAACAAAATAAGTACTTAATTATTTATAGCACTTTAGCATAATTTTAAGACATTAAATATGTCTTAAAATAGTGCCTTTTCAAACATGAAAAATATTTTTTTTTCCTTTTTAATATTTAACAGCCCAATACATTATTTTTTATTAAAACTTTATTGATGCAGCAATAAAAAAAGATTACACTTACATCCTGGTAACTAGAATTCATAACTATAGTTTTTACATAAACTTTTTATAGACTATTTCATATATAGCTGTGAAATATTTATTCTATAATATTATAAAATTATAACAATTAAAATAGACTATTTCATATATAGCAATAAAATATCCATTCTATAATAATATAACATACCCGTTCAAATAAAAACAAGGATCAACTCCATAGAGATTGAAGCTTCCCGAGAAAACGGGAAAAAGTTGCTTCAATCCGGTTGCTTCATTTGGTTTTTTTATTATATATACTCAAAATGGATTCAAGATCTGCAACTATTGCTCAGATATAATATTTTAAAAAGTCATGCCCAGTCAACTTATTCAACTATCTGCTGTGAACGCTAGTTAATGCATCAGCTAAGTTGTTTTCTGAAGGGACAAGATTTACACCAACTTTAATACTGTATTTTTATTATAGCTCATTTATTTTTCTCTGTATTAACAGACGCTTTTGACTTCAATCTTGATTTACAAGTAAGCGTCAGAATCTAGTAAAACACTGTTGCAAAATCTGTAAAAATTGTTACTTTCTCTAACAGTAAAGCCATATTTATACATTGCATCGCCACATCTAACTCTGCAAAGTTTATATGAATGCCGGATCTTTCTTTTTGCAGCCATGTTGCAACTTCCATAGCAATATTACCAACTTAAATAACAGCATCTATTGCTGGGTAAAAAAGAACTAACATCAAACCACAACTTTGTCTTTTAGTTATGCAGAGTTTACTCACCACAAGCTGGCTTGCAACTTATAACCTCAGCACCAGACTTCTTGAAGATTTTATTTCACATTGTTATCACAAACTTCATCATCCTAACTCTTTGTCAAACTAACAACTCTTCTTTTCAAAAAACTACAAATAACTCTTAACTAACCATACACTGGTAAATGACCCGCCGATTGTCTACAAACACTACTCTCATGGTTAACTATTTCAGGATTTTTTTAATTCATTTCTCTCTAGACCATATCAATTCCATGCTCTATTATTAATTCTACTAACAATTTATATTAATTTATAAACCTCAAAAATAATTATAAAAACCCGCATAAACATGTTATAATTACACTTAAACAAAGATATTTACAATAACTATCAATTTAAAATGCCAACTAAATTACGACCTACTTGGCGTCAAAGAACTCTCTTGCGTTCTATGTAATATAATCACACAATGTATGTACTAAAGCCTCAATAGATCCATATTTCAGTATGACATCATCAATGACACTTTATGTAAGACTAAGTACACGAAGATGTTTGCATACACACTAGGGTTCATTGAAAAACAACAACTTTTAAATAATGCTTTGTCAAAGTTCTAAATATGTTCTTTATAATAAGATAACACTAAATTAAAAAAATTTTTAAACAAAAAATATTTTTAGAGGTGCCCCAAGACCCTTGAACATTTAGAGGGTTCTTAATATATATGTAAAAAAAGATCTTCAAAAGTTAGTAAACCTGGTACTCAAAAAAAGCAAAATTATGTAAAAATTTAAAAAATCATATTTGTTTTATAAAAAACATTAAATATATTAAAAAAACTTGTTGAAATGCACTTTTTTTATTTTTAGTTTAAAATCAAAAGCTTTTATAAAAAAAAATTTAAAATATAAGTTTTATACAAAACAATTATTATTTTTCAAATTCTTATATAATTTAACTTTTTTTGAGTACCAGGTTAACCTACTTTTAAAGTCTTTTTTTTACTTATATATTAGGGACTCTTAAATGTTTAAGGGCCCCAGGGCACCCCAAAATATTTATTGTTATTTTATTATAAAGAAAACATTTAGAACTCAGAAAAAGCAATTTTTAAAATTGTTGTTTTTTGATGCATTCTACTACACACATATATACACATAATATAAATAACTTACTCCGGCAAAATTCTTCCTAAAACAAGATTTGCATCAGTAACTGCCAAATATCCATCTATAAAAATTACAAATATATATATATATATTTATATATATATATATATATATATATATATATATATATATATATATATATATATATATATATATATATATATATATATATATATATACATATATACATATATACATATATACATACATACATATATATACATATATATATACATATATACACATATATATACATACATACATATATATACAAATATATATACAACTCTCGGAATTAGGGTCGGCATTCGACAATGCCAACCTTAACGTGTTTGAGGTATGTTTTATGGTAAGACCTTTGTATCAAATTTTTTTTGTCGACCTGATGCTGATTTTTAAAAAATTAAGGTCAGCAAATAATTGCCAAGGGTTGCATATATTTATATGTATACATCCTAATTCTGAGGGTTGCATATATATATATATATATATATATATATATATATATATATATATATATATATATATATATATATATATATATATATATATATATATAAATCCATGCCCAAACCTTCAGTGAGTACATGTGTTAAAACATTTATAGAAGGCTGTTTCAGTATCAAGTCATTTATGAGGTTTAAAAAAGACATAAATTTTCACATTTCAAAAATGAAGATCATTTTCCAATCAATTGTTAGATTATAATGTCTTTCACATATTTGCTGATCTTTAAGCAGCCATACTAATAACAACCTCACCCTCGCCACCTTCACCAACCTCCACTCTTTCCATTCATTTTATAATAAGAGACAAAATTATTTTTGTTCTCATAACAGAACAAAACTAAAAAATAAATTTCTAATTTTATTTAAAAGACTTTTCATTTAAAGTTTAATTTTTGATTTGATTTAAAACATAATGATTAGCTTAATTCTAGTTCAAGATTGTTTTTTATTTTTATCATAATACAGGTTTTTTCATATTGTGATAATTTTTTTGTTAAACATTTTAGTAAACTTTAAAAGTTTCATTAAAAAATTAACTTTTTTTTTCATAGCGAGTTGATGTTAGATCCATGGGGGGGGGGGGGCATGACAATGACATGACAGGGGGGGGACATGGAAAGTTAATGTCAGATTAATGATCCTAAGAACCAAAAAATTTATTTTAAAACCTCATTAGACTACTAAAATTTTCTTTAAGTTTGAGTTTGATCCATGTAGTCAAACAATTTATAAGAAAATCCAGAAATCATTTTGTATACTGTAGAATAATTTTAGTGAGCAAAGAACTTATTTTAATGAGTAAATAATCAATCAAAGATTAGAATAGAATCCTGTAGATTGAATTTCTTTTTAAATTTATTTTCTTATATGAAACTATTTTTTATTTAAAATCTTGCTATAAATCTTTTATTAATAAATTACTTTTTCTGTAACAAACAGGCCCAGGATGTGCTCGTGCAGATTCAGGACCCACATCATATCGACCACACCTAAAGAACAATCTCGAACCACCTCCAGCAGCTACAGTATTGATGTCAAGCTAAAAAAATATTCTATTAAAAACATAAAACAAACAAAAACAATATAAATTAAAACAATTTAAATCCAAATCTCTAAGTCAAAAAAAAAAAAAAAAAAAAACTTGAAAAAAAACATTAGGAAAATATTTAAAAAAAAATACAATCCAACTCAATTTAACAACCCTTTTTAGCAATGAATGAAATAAAACAAGTTAAATAAAATAGGGTCTAAGTTGGTCAAATAAACTAGACAAGAGCTCTGACTTTATTAAAAAATATCTTAAAATATTTTTCTTATGTAGATTGTATTATTTTAGTATTATACAAGCAATAAAATATGTTGACCGAATATAATACAGTATTATAAAGACAAAAAAAAGAAAAAAAAGAAAAAGTTAAAAAATACCTGAGGAGCTTGAATACTAACGCCAGCGGTTTCATTCTCCAAAATAACTTCAAAACTGCCAGCGTATCTGGAAACATCAGTTGAGGTACCTTAAAAATAAAATTGATAAAAAATATTAACTTAGGTTTTGTAATTTAGTTTAAAAAAACTGATAAATAGTAATATAAAATAATTTTTTAAATAGAAAAACTTCAAATAAACTTAACTTATAAAGAAAATATCTATAGAAATTAATCATTACATTTAACACGTTTGTATCCTGCAAATTGAAACAATATTTACAAACATATTTGCAATAAAATTCAAAGGTCATTAAATTTTTTTATAAAACTTTTATGATTTTTAAGTTTTTAAACTGAAAAAAAAAGTAAACAAAAACTTGAAAAAACTGCATGTTTACCAAAAAACTTGTTCAACAAATGGTGAACAAGATTGTAAAGTTGAACATGGTAGTTCATGATACAGTTTATGTATTAGGTGCAAACAGAGGAATGGGTACAAAATGTCATAAGTTTGTTAAAAGACTTACAAAAGAAACTAGCTGAATAACAAAATGAAATGTACTTGATTGTAATGATGTGGATAAGAACAATATCTACCAAATAACAGATTTATAGAGGTAAAATCATCTATTATCAAGAAATCATCATCAGTAAGAAAATGATAAGTAGTTAAAAGCAGCTTTAAAAAAGCAGCTTTAATCTATTTAATCTCCACACTTGTTTACATTGATACTGATGACATCTTAATAAAATAGTTTTTTAAATAAAAAGATGGGTTTACATTACTTTATAATATTTAAAAGATATTATTTTCTATTCAACAATTAAAATATAAATTTCATTACATTTTGGCAAGACTTTGACTTTTAATTAGGAAATTAAATAAAACTCATTCAACAAATTAGTTAAACTATAAATGAATAATATTTGTCTACTACTCTAGATCTGGCTCTAATATTTAACGGTTAATAATATTTAACGGTGTAGAGGAAAAAAAGAAAAAAAAGAAAAGCTATGGAAATTATTTTAGGAATAAAAAAGATTAGTTAAAAATAAAGTAAAATAAGAAAATTATTGAAAGGTATACACAAACTAAAAGATTGAAGACAAATTAAAACAAGAAAATGAATAGAAGTATAAAAGAACAAATAGATTTAATAAAACAAAAATTAATAAAAAAACAAAAAAAATCAATTAAAAGCAAAGCACCAAGTTAAAAGTAAAAAAGATTGAAAAATGTTTGAATTAAAAAAAAAAAAAAAAGAACTAATTAAAACGTAAAAAAAAATCACTACCAATTTTTCTACACCTTTTTTTTGTTGCCAAAAATAAAAGATTGTTATTATTATTTTTTTATAAATTTTATCTGGTAGAAGTTTTTGTGTTTGCATTTTCGTTTTGTAGTTTTTGCCTTCATTTTGTAGTTTTAGTGTTTTGCCTTTTTGTTTCCAAAAAGTTTGTTTTTAGTTGTGCTGTTTTGCTAATTTTTTTTGTTTGTTTGCTGTTGTAATCAATTATTTTCATATTTTTGTCTTATTATTTAATTTATTATAGATTTATTGTTATTACTATGTTTCAAATTAATTTAGTTTACGCATGCTTTTATTTATTATTATTGCTGTTGATTTTTTTTGTTTGTTTATTTTATTTAGGTGTCACTCTAATTGACTAGTTTTTAACTAGCGATATAGTTAAAAATTAAAAATATCAGCGGTATAGTTTAAAACTAAAAATATCAGCGATATAGTTTAAAACTAAAAATATCAGCGATAGTCAAAAACTAGTCATTAGAGTGATTACACTGATTTTGTAAAATTATAAAAAACTAATTTTTGTTTGAATAATGGAAATATAGTAATAATTTAAAAATAAAAATAATAACAAAAAAATAACAATAACAATAGTAACATAACATTTTTATTCACCAAGATTAAGATACTCAAATGAACTTTACATAGACAAAAATAGAAAAAAGTACTATAACATAATCAATCGTTTTGGCAATTATAAAAAAAATTATAATATGATCATTTTAACAAACAACAAACAACATTATAAAAAAAAGGACTATAACAGAAAATAAAAGAAAAAGAAATAAAAGAAAAAAAGAAGTAATATAAAAACAGAACTTTAGTAAAATGTTTTTTTTTTTACAATTTTTAAGTAATTTGAATGAGAAAATGAGATTTAAAAAAAAAAAATTTGAAAAAAAAAACTAATTTTTTTGTTTTTGTTTGCAAATTTGTCTACTTGATCTTTCTCAGAACAAGAAAGAACAAAATGAAATGCAGCCTAAACAGAATAAACCAAATACGAAACTGAAAAATCTTGAAGGAAAGACACTTATCAAATTAAAAAATTGAACCACAACAAAAACAAATTGAACTGAGTACAACAAGCTGAGAGAAAGCTACAAATTAAACTATTTAAATTAAACTAAAGAGTGTTAAAACATCCTTTCCACCTATTAAAACAAAAATTTGGTATAATTTGAAACTGTTTAAAGCATTATTGTTACAAGTTATATCAATTCTAGTTTTTTTGTAGTTTATGTAAAAAACAGTAATCATTATAGTTGATTTTTCATTACAAACTTATTCAACTTTAAAATGTCTTAGGAGTAAAGTCTCTTTCTTGGAATCAGAAAATTTTTAGCAACATGTACAATCTGCAATAAGCACTTCAGAAATGCAACTTAGCTACAGGATCTCAAAGAAATTTCTTGTGTTGGAGGTTACAAATGTACTTGGTAGGTGTAAACTTCATCATTAGGTCGGTTTGATCTAGCTTGTACACTACGCATGTTGTTGGTTATTGCCTGTTTTTTGCTGAAATCCATTTGTAAATCAAATAAAGCTAAATAAATAATTCAAGTTATATCATTCAAATACTATATGTTGAATGTTGTAACTGTAGCCTGTAACTGTAGCCTGTCTAAATAGTAACTTTAGTATTCAGACAATTGATGAAGACCATGCCATGGGATAAACAATTGTGTCAGAGGATAACTCTCTTATGCCACAAACATTCTAAGTAGGTAATTTTTGGAACGCCAAGTAGTTGTTCTGTTTTAACACTAGATACAATATGAAGCAGTCTTTTAACATTCTACTTCCCAGTAATATTAGACAACAGCTACAACAACTAATGCTGAACTGGAGTTAATTTATTCTTGAGTCTGTTGCAAAAATTCCTCTTGACTTTTACAACTTAGTGGCAACTCCTGAGCTTTATGGCCATGGACATAAGCTATAGTAGCTATTCTTACTCTGTTACTTTATTTTGATCCCAAACTTGTGCCACATGCATTGTAACATGCAATTTTGCTTCATTTGAATGACAAAAGAAACATCAAAAAGTTTGATGTTACTCCCAAACATCAAAAATTTGTTGTACTTTTACTTTGGCACTTTCAACTATATGTTCAGCTCTTTGTGGTGATAGAGATAGACTGACAAAGTCTTTTTCAATAAGCACTACTTCTTAGCTTAATAAGTTAAGAGACTGGAACTCTAATCAGCAACACTAGAGACTAATGTCTTATTTTTATTGTTCATCATTTGTAGTCAGGTGGGGATCATTGCAAAACAGTGACTACTAAAAGAAAAATAACAAAATTTACTTTTCAATTCTAAATGTTCAAACCCAATGGAGCTGACCTATTTTGTCATAGTATATATTTTACAATAGTTACAAGAGTTTTACATGGATACTTTGCATATCTTTATGCTTCAGAAATAAATGTTATTTTACAACAATATTTAGTGTTACTAGCAGTAATAGTGTTATTCATAATCAAAATCTACTTTGCTAATTGTATAAATCAATTATTCATTATTTACAAACTTAATACTGTTGCTACTCCCTTTTTAATATATTAAAAAAAATATCTTTCATATAAAATATATATATTTATGAATATATAGTTATTTATTTCCCAAACTTTGTGAGCCTACTAAAGTTAACTTACACTTATGTTGTTACTAAAAATTTAAAAAGAAATCAAATATTTAATCTTGAATACCTCCCATATCAAATCCTATAACAGGTTGTCTTGTTTGCTCATTGTATGTAGTCAAAGCATAACCAACCTAGTTTATATATATATATATATATATATATATATATATATATATATATATATATATATATATATATATATATATATATATATATATATATATATATATATATATATATAATATATATATACATAAATATATATATATATATATATATATACATATATATATATATATATATATATATATATATATATATATATATATATATATATATATATATATATATATATATATATATATATATATAATTTAATATATATATATATATATTTAATTATATATATTTAATTTAATATATATATATATATATGAACAGAAATATCAAAAATTAAAAAACTTTGTAAATTAAAAAAAAAAAAAAACATACTACTCCACCAGCAGGACCAGATAAAATAGCTCGACTTCCAATAAATCTATAATAAATTACAAAAAATTTCTATATATAATAACTATATACATTAGCCTGTGTCAAAAAACAAAAAAAAAAAAGAAACACTATACTCTCTAATCTTAGTCATTTGACCCAAAAAGACTATATTTAAAGTTTTAGAACTGTAGGACAAGCCTAACAGGATTACGTTGATGCTGCTTTTTTGCAATTTTTGTTAAAAATAAGAAATTTTTTAATTTTTAATAATATTAAAATTTTTTTTTGTACTTTTTTGGAATAAAGTTTATAAATTTTTTACTTAAAAAAATTGTAAATACTAAAACTATCCTTAGCCGATTATTTAGTGTCAAAGAATCAGTCACTAACAACTCAATTCTATATTGCATAAACAGACTAGTTTTACTTTACATTTCATTTCCAGCTAAATAAAATATTGAACAAATGGGCAAAGTTAAAAGAAAAATATATAGTTATTCTACCAATCCAAGGAGAACTTGTTACCTCCTGAAATACCCCATCAATGGTCTACTAGATAGAGAGCTTCCTACTGTTGGAAACAGTTTAAGATTCTAATACTTTTGACAACTTAATACCTTTGAAAACATGACTAGGTAAATTTATCCTATTTAATTATAACTTATCTAACTCAAATTTAAATTAATCAAAGTTAAATTTAAAAAATACATAATATAACTATTTTTTGCCAGGTAGTACTTATATCTGCAATTAGAAAAAGGCTATAAATTCAAGCCCTGCAAGGAAAATATGGGTAGCCCTCAGGAAAACGGTGGATTTGATCTTGTTTGCTAAGACAACAAGTGTGACAGGGAGGATGGAAATAACTGTGTGGTGAAAGAAGTTCAAAGAGTTTGGAAGAGAGCAGGATTTAGAAGCGCAATTCACACTGGTTCAATCATAAGGTTATTTTATGTTTTATATTTTTTGAAATGTTTAGTTTCTATTTAATATTCATCATTTAAAATTTTCATGTTTTTAATAATTTGAACCCCTAAAAAGCAGTCCTCATACTTTAGATAAAAGCTTTGCAAGATACAGAAAAAATACACAAATTTGCTTCGAGTGACAAAAATTCGATCAAAGAAAAAAGCACAACCAAATCATAATTTGTTTTTAGAAGAATTTGATTTGCTTTTCATCATATCCAGATCAGATTTTAGGCAGAGGATAAGCCAGGATAGAGATCATGAAAAAGTACAAGAAGACTTAACCTTCCTGGAGGATTAGAGATGAGAGAGAAAGATGATTTTTTTAGGGGAAGACAAGGACTACTTGAAAAAAGTGATAATTTATTTTGCAAGTGAATTATTCATTTTGCTGTTTTTTTAACTATTTTCTTTTTATTTAGATTGAAATGAAGCTTGCAAAATTAACTATAGCAGCTCTTACTAAGATTATTGACTCTAACTCTGGGTTCTATGTAGGCATCATATATATGAAGTCCACATTTCATATTTCTTAGAAGTTTTGTTTAAAATTACTAAGGGTCCATGTTCTTCATGTAACTTCATGTTAAATTTAAAAAGATCTGGACAGAGATCTGTGATGAGGTAAAGAAGCTTGATAATGTAATCTATCTTTGATTGGAGCACTTTATCTTTTGGTTCAATTTTTTATGTAAAAGCCAAAGAAGCCCTAACCTATTTGACTCATGAACTTCATAATGAAACATTTGCTTGAGATGATTACCGCAAGTTAGTAAAGCTAAGTATATTTTTCCTTGGCGGAGTTATTAAAAACTTTAGATTTCTGCAGCCTGGTGCAATGCACAAGGCAAGATTTATGGCTGATGCCTTATATATTTTAACAATTCAGATGACCAAAGTTACACACAAAATATTAACAGTGGACGAGGAAGAAAGGTTTAACGTTGCTAGCTTCTTTATAAGTGTTATGTATGTCCCATGGTTCCTAAAGAGTAGAATACCAGCCTTTGCTCTAAGATGCGATTTGGAGGTATTAAAAGACTCTTTCGAGCTGAAGAGATCTTTTTGTTCTAAGAAATATAAAGATCTTGGAAATGCTCTAATAAAAAGCTTAAAACGCCACACATGGTATTTAGATGAATAACTAGTTGTTCTTGCATTAGCAGACAAAGATTTGTCTAATATCACAAAGGTAGAAATGATAACAAACTTGCTCATCAATGTTAAGCCAGAGACATTTAGACATGATCCGCCAACAAAGGTTCTTAATTTGGACTGTACATTGACTCTTCCTACCCTTGTGGGTCCAGAAAGCTGGATCCTTTTTGACATTGTTGGTGCTTCTACGGAAAATGCTTCTCAATGGATTAAGGGAGATTCTGGTAGCTGAGATGATTTGGAAAGCTGCAGAAAATTTGTTCAGTTTGTGAAAAACATGCAAGTAACAAATTGTGAAAAACATGCAAGTAACTACGCTTAGAGAAATATTCGCCTTATTCAAGATTTTGTCTTTGCAAGTAAATCAGAAGATCAAAGGCAAAATGTGATGCTTGTAGCAAAAGAGGAGAGAAAAAAGATGCCTGCTAATATTACAAAAAAAGGGTAGTTGCCATGCAAAAAATTAGAAAATAAAATAAAAATTTTAAAAAAATTCAAAAAAAGAAGTACAAAATAAGAATTGGACAAACTGATAATGTAAACCTGAAAATAACGATTTATAATTGTTATTATTTAAATAAATTTTTTATCAAATGAAAAACTTTTTTTTAGACTTTTAAGTTTAAAATTTTTTTTTTTTTTTGCTATCAATTTTGAGTTTATTTAAAAAAACTATGTTTTTTAAAAAAAAGTGATGTTTTTTGTAAAAAGCCTAAAAAATTAAAAAAATCGAGTTCAATCTGATCCTGTTACACATGGCCTTATGAGCTGAATATTTCAACATGATCATTTTGATATAAATGACTAAGATTGCGAAGTATAGTTTCCCTGGATTCTGACTTTTGTTAAAATTTGACACAGGCTAATATACTTATATAAATATGTCTATATACATACATAAATAAACTATGTATGTAATATCTATATACATACAAAAAAAGCAGGTATTATTTATAATAAGGTCCTCAATTTTCAATTTGGGTAGCGCCCAAATGCGGTTGACGCTATCGAAAACGGTCTAGAATAGCCCCTGATATAAACATATAGCGTATATAGGTAACAAATTGTTACTGGTTTTTCCAACCTTTTTAGAATATGAAATTCTCAGAAAAATAAAAAAATAAAGAATAATGTAAGAAAAGATTGCTGCCCCAATTGTGTGAATATCGATATAAAATTAATTTTAAATATATCAAAAATTAACTTACTGATCAACTGGTGTAAGACCACCATTTGATTGCATGAATAACACAGGAACATCCTTTAAAATTAAACTTAGGCTTTTGCAAAAAAAAATTTTTCGAACTTTCATTTTTTTCAAACTAGTTTAAAAAAAGTGCAACTTACTTTTAAATGATCTTGAAAACCTTTAGAAAAACTTTCAACATACTTCTTGATATGTGGCGTAAGATAGGCATCAGCACATGCTAAATACAATTTTTTCAACTAAAAAATTAAATATAAGCTTTCCAAAAATGATTGAAACTTTTAAAAAATATTTAACTGTGTTTATGGGAGTGATTATTTAAAAAAAATAAATGAATTAATAACTAATTCACCATTAATACTGGTAATGAAACAAGTTTTAATTATATTAAAGACATGCTTAGCTGTATTACTTAAAACACATACATTTTAATTTCTGAAACAAAAATAAAACTGGTTTGTTTTAATCACAGAATGTAAAAAGTTGTTTAAATAAAACACACATCCTTTTTCAAATTCATGTACTTAATCAATTTGTAATTAACCTGTTCTAACCTAATGAATGGATACTTGTGTTTAACGAAGCCATGAGAATTAGAAAATAATTTTTTCAAAAGCTATTTTAGAATTGGTACTGCCTTTTTAATGGCTAAAAATGAATGATGGATAAAATTTTCAAACCAAGACCTGCTGGAAATCAGCCATCCTGATAAAAATTTACAAGCCTTTTTTAAAAACTGTGGGATTCATGGATTAAAAGTGAATATTTAAATCTTATAAAAAGGATGTTCAGGATAGGTTTTGATGTCTGATGGATGTACATAAACACATACAACCTTTTCTTACCATACCAAAACCAATACTTTTTTAAGTAATATAATTCCAATAGCAGACATACAGGTGTGTACATTATTGACATTACAAAATCAGTAAGCAAGGAAAGGTTACACTTAATGTCTTTATATTAGACAATATATGACAAAAATGTAACAACTGATACAAAACAATCGACCCAATTTTTTTTGTTATTAGTGTGGGGCACATGCACTGGAGTTTCAAAATGACAGATATACTGAGGATTTCTTTACTTAGTTCAACTTTTTTAACACATAAATTGGCATCACTTTAAAATGCAGTTAAATCTGAAGAAGGAGATATTATTCATATCAGCTATGTCTAATTTTAAAAATGTTGAAGTTGCCAACAACTTTACAGAGGTTTATTAAATAGTGACTGTGGAACGCAGATAATAGTAAAAGTAATGAGAAAAATGCTAATAAAAAATATTTATTTTATGGATCAGGAAGTATAATCCATAAAATAAACACTTCAAACTAAAACCTTAAAACTTGCAACATGAAGGACCTGGCATCTAGAGAGGGATTAGAGGTGTTTCATTTTAAAAAGGTTCTATTGAAGTAAAGGTGGTGTTAAAAATAACTCATTGAGATTAATTACCAGGTTCTAAACCCCAATTTCAAGCCTCAAGCTTTTTGGGAGAATTAATTGGGACAACACTTACATTCTCAAATCACATAAGAACCATCCATTAGATTGGAAATGGAAAACCAATTTATTAAATGCTAATCTGTGGCAGTGCTCTGTGATAAAAATATTTTTTGGTATCTTTTTGGTATCTTTGTATAATTTTTTTTTTTTTTCTAAAAGTTTCTTTATTTGTTTATTAAGATTCAAAATTTACCAGTAAATCTACATCATTTTGTTTAGACACATGTTTTACTTATATAAAGATTTGGTGTTAATGGGGTACAAATATATACAAATAATTTAATGTAACACATTTTTTTCTAACAAGTTTAAATGTGAGCTGTTAATTGAGATCCGCAAGAAAAGTTATGTTTATTTATAAAAGAAACAATCAAACTTATCAAAACTAATTATTTATTGAGATATTAACAAAAACACTTTAGCTTTTTTGATAGTTTCCTATCTTCCTTCCATTTCAAATAGATTTTGCATAGTTTTTTTGTTTTTTTTTGTTAGTTTTTTTAATAAAACTAGTTTTATGAAAAAAAGTAATTTCAAATCAAATTTATTTTTATTATTTTTTACTATACACAAAAAAAAATATTATTTTCAGTTTTAGATTTTATTAAAGCAACTTCTTTTTAACAAATTTATGGACAATTTTTAAACTTATATATTATTTTTATGCAGCACTTATTAGTTACACATATAGTTACACTTATTAGTTATACACGTTTTGTTTTGAAAAATAAAACAAACATATGTAAGACTTCAGGATCTAAAGATTTTAATGTGAGATTTAATATAATTTTAAATCGAAGGTGTCTTTTTGCTAATTATACAAAAGGATATTGATTACCTTGATAGATACTCTGTACCAATCAAGGTAATTTAAAAATGTACTTGATATATTTTTCTTCTATTGACATAGATTATCCAGGTTATACTTTAAAAATCCAAAAAAATTGTTTAGGTAAAATATTCGGAAAAAAATCTGGAATATATATTCCCTTATATTCCTCTTAATTTTGCTTTTAGCTGAGATGTTTTCAATTTTTTTTTAACTTTTATTAATTTTTGTAAGAATAATGAGTGAAAAAGGTAAAAAAAACAAATAAGTTATAAAAATATATTATAATAATATATACCTAAACATGTATATATGGAAAACATTTTGGATATCCAGAAAAACTAAAATTTGAGAAAAATATTCGGAATTCCGGAAATATCTGGTAAAAGATAATTCCTGTATCAAAATAATGTATTAATAATAAGTTTTAATAAAAGACAATATTAATAAAAGATATTCAAAAATAATAAAAAAAATGTTAACTTTATTTAATTTGCTGATTTTTTAAAATTTAGACTTGGAGAAAAATTATATTAACAATATAATTTTAAAATGCAATTTCACTTTTCAAAATGTCTACTTTTTTTTTCTTTCTTTTTTGGGTTATTATTACAGTTTTTTAAGAAAATTTTTTGAAAATGGCGTTAAAAATGAGAAATTTCTTTGTTAATATCTTAATAAATACTTATTTTCTAAGATTTATCATATAAACACAACTTATCTCAGCACTTAAGGATTCTTTTTAAAGAATATTTTGGAAGTTACTTTTCACTGGACAATTGGACAACAACAGTAATAAATATAGTCACCAGTAAATCCACGAGAAACTATTTTTTCCATTGCCATAACTTCTGAGGACAAAGAGATATGAGTAAAACCCATTTGTTGAGCAATCTTTTTAACTTCTTTTTCATGGTCAGAGTTACTAAATGAAATAGTTAAAATACAAAATAATTTATATACTGTAGATACGATACATTTCCATGGTCTACGCTTTATTTTATACTCAAGTTCTATTAATTGAAGTATGCTAAACTATGAAATGAAAATTATTTTCAAAGTTACATAAACTATATAACAGGACAAGACATAACAAATTACAAGACAAAAAAGGTAATTAAGTATTAGAGCTAAATTTCTAAGAACATCACTGAGGTATTTTAAAGAACATAACTATGTGGTATTTTACAAAACATAACTAAGTGTTATTTTTCAAAACATAACTATGTGGAATTTTACAGAAGATAACTAAGTGGTATTTTTCAGAATATAACTTTGTGGTATTTTTCAGGACATAACTATGTGGTTTTTTTCAGAACATAACTATGTGGTTTTTTTCAGAAGATAACTAAGTGGTAATTTTGCAAAACTTAGCTAGGTAGTTTAATGTACACATACCTGTTTAAAGTATTCATATTAAAACTACAATAAATTTTTTTAAAAACTTTTTTCTGCAATTTGTTAAAAAAAATTTTGGTATGAAACAATACCATTTTATGGAACTTTCAAATACCATACTTACATGTATCTGACATCTGTAAAGACCTGATCATTAAACAGAAACTGCCATTTTAACAGTCTGCTTAAAAAGTTTTTAACCAATCTAAATCTTGATATTCATTTTAAATCCATTCAACTGTAAAACTGCCATACAAAATGACTCATGACATCACTATTATAAAAGACCATCATCAGAGTTGCTGTGTTAGAAAGTATTTTATTTAATACCTCTTTATATTATTACCAATTACACACTTTACACAATAAAATACAATTGACTAGATTACATTATCCCTAAAGCTTCTCATTAAAATAACTCTATTTATTTTTAATTTTTCTTTCATTCTACAGAGTAACAACAAAGTAAATACATCAGCTCCTATTTCATTAAAATTTCTGCTGCATTTATTAAAGCTACAATGTCTGACTCACCCATTTCTTAATTCTTCTTTGCTTAAAAATTATTGTGAAAATATAATATAATATAATAAAAACCTAAAACAATTTAGTTTTCTGATAAATTAAAAAGTAGATAATTCACAAAAACTTACATATGACTGTGCATTAATACAACAGCAAGACATCTAATACCTTTATCAAGAAGAATCTAAAACACAAAAATATTTGAATTTCCAATTTTTGTAAAAAAAAATATAAAAAAATCAAAATATATAAAAAAATGTATACATAAAGATACCTGAAGATTTTTACGCAGATCTTCTTCATCCACTTTTACCCATTCTTCAACAATCTAAATTTTTTAATTTAATAATAACTACTTTGCTAAAATTTTCATAAAAAATAAACAAATAAAATATTTTTTATTAATATATTTTATTTATAAATATTAATTATATTTATAGAAAACAAATACATTAATGATTTTTATATTTGACTTATGATGTAAAACACAACTTTAATACACAAGAGTCATCAAAAAAAAAGATCAAAATTTCCTTTCTCTTAAAGAAATTAAAATAAATCAAATCATATAAAATGATATGAATATGACAAATGAATCTGTGAAAGCATAGCTTATTCTAATTGCCTTAGTAAAAATAATTTTAACCACCAATTGGTGCTTCAATTAAATATCTTTAAACTTAAAAACATATTCAGATTAGAACTATAGTTTGCAACATGGTTTCCAAACCCTTCACTCCAAACCCTTCACTCCAAACCCTTCACAAAAAAAGCAATTGGTATTCAAAAAGATATATTTTTGAGAAGAGGTTAAAACCTGAGGCAAAAAATATTGGTTGACTATCAAGTTCCATAAGGCATAACAAAAAAATTTTAAAGAAAACTTCTCATGAATGAAAGAAACTCAAAGAACAGTGCCTAAACAATGTACTTTAACATCATTTTCAAATTGGTTCTAGAAATTTAAAAGATAAAAGAATATTGGAATGGCTTATTACTGAAAATATAAATTAGTAGCTTACACTTTAAATTTAACAACAGAATTTAGAATGACATTAACAAATTTGAAATTATAAAATGCTGAAAACATATATCAAACAAATATGGAAAAATAAAAACATATTTTCATTAATAATTAGTCTACTAGAAATAAAAAAACTAAGTAGTGCATTAATAAAAACAGTAAAAAAAAAACAAGTCATATTATAAACAAAGAAACACTTAATAAGTAAATACTCAAAATTAACACTAAAAAAAACTAATAAAAAAAAATTCGAACATCAATTTTAGATAAGTCGCTACCAACTTTTCTACACCTTTTTTAATGCTGAAATTAACAAAAATTATTATTATTATTACTTTATTTTGTATAAGTTTTTGTGTTTGCATTTTCGTTTTGTAGTTTTTGTTTTCATTTTGTAGTTATTCTGTTTTGTTTTTTTGTTTGCGTATAGTTTGTAATTATTTGTGCTGTTTTTGCTAATTATTTTTATTATTGTTCACTGTTTTTCTATTTTACTAATTTTTCTACACCTTTCTTTATTCGCCAAAACAACAAAAGATTGTTATTATTTTTTATTTTATTTTATAGAAGTTTTTGTGTTTGCATTTTTATTTCGTAGTTTTTGTGTTTTTCATATGCGTAAAGCTTATTTTACTTGTGCAGTTTTTTAAATTATTTTTTTTTTGTTTGCTGTTATTATTAATTGAATGTTTTCATATTTTTTGTCTTATTATTTAATTTATTATGTCTTTATTGTTATTATTATTTTTAAATTAATTTAATTTACACATGCTTTTATTTTTTAGTAGTGCTGTTAATTTTATTAAGGTGTAACTCCAATGACTAGTCTTTTTATGAGTGACACCTAATTTTGTAAAATTATAAATATCTTGTATTTTTTTTCAAATTTTGGTTGAATAAATGGATTATAAAAAGCTAAGCTAAAATTATATTAAATCCTAATGACGCATGCACTAATCTGTTACAAAAGCAACTAAAAAATTATCAAAAAATTAAAATGCAACTAAAAACTAATTACAAAATATGTTTCAAAAACAATTTTTAAAGGAAAAAAATCCAATTTTCATTTTGTTTGTAAATTATTTTACATTTCATTCCATTTACAAAAAGTAGGATATTATGAAAAATAATTAAACCAAATTAAATATAGGTTTTATAGCATCTGTTTAGGACAAAAAGCGACATTTTATTGTAACACTATTCTTGAAATATTTTTGCCCCTGTGAAATTTACATGCAACAGGCTTCAAAATTTAAATATGGCATAAATGAGTATCGATTGACCTTAGGCATTTTTAATATAAAATATAATAGAAAAATTAATAAACCCGTTCTTTGTTTCTCAAATAAGCAAACTAGATTATTTATTATAGCTTAACAATAGTGGTCACACATCCTACTGTATAAAAACAATATAAATAAACATAGTTATATGTGACTTACCTACATTGTAAGGTACTTGTGACATTTTGTAATCTGTACATTATGAGTTACCTGTGACTTGTCTACATTGTAAAGAAGTGGATGATTCCCATTTATTTGACAATCTACTTGATGAATGACCAATCTTTCAGAAACTTCAACAACATCTTCATATAGAACATCTGGCGTTACAATTTTCTATTAAATAAAAAGTTTAACAAGTAAGTTCAAGGATGTCAATTTCATTTGACATCCTTGAACTTACTTGTTAAAAAAATAGTAAAAAAACATAAAGCCTCATAATTACATAACTTTTAATAACTTATGCCTCTGCAATTATTCATATAGAAAAAAAAAATGCTTGAAACAACAACTTTATCACTATATTTTATATTCAAAATAAATTTTACAACATTTTATTTTTAGTGTTAGAGTTAACTTCAGAAAACTCCAAACCTATTTATTTATATTAATATCTAATAAAAATGTTTTTTGAAAATGAGGAGCTTATAATTGAGGAACTTATAATTTTTTTATTTGCACCATTTTAAAATAAATTAACAATCATTGGCAGATTTTGAAATTCACCAACAAATCTTTCATTCAACTTTCAAATATGTTTAACTATTCTTTCTTTTTAATTTTAAAAGCAAAAAAAAAAACAACTAATGTTTAACAAGGCTTGCATCTAAGTTGAGAATTACCAGAAGAAAAAAAACACTGTAAATTGTATTTGTTGAAAAACATGATCATGACAGAAAATTCCATTAATATATGAGAAAAAAACTAAATGAAGAAGCCTTTGGAGCATGAAAATTAAGTTTTAGTTGATAGAACAATGGATGATAGTTCTTGGTAAACAACCTTGAGTATTTGTAGAAATAAGAAGAGATGCAACTTTGTGATGGTGGGACAGAAGCTCAAACTTAGCAGCTAGAGTTGCTAAGTTTGCAAAATTCTATCAGCAAGTGTGTACAACCATTAAAAGGTAAACATACAATTACTTTGTACCATTTAAAACATATATACAAATATTTACAAATATGTTAAGATCAGTTACTAATCTATAATCAAAAGAAAATCGTAAAAATAAAATAAAAAATAATCACACCTAAAAAACTAAAGATAAGTTAATAGGAAAATTCAAAGAAAATTTAAATTAGAGACAAGTTAAAGATAGTTGGTAAAAAAAAAATAATTAAAAATCAAAAAAAGTCTTAAAAAGAATTCAATTTATTAATTGATAGCTGTCAACCCATCTCTTGAGCCACTAAAAGCACCAAATTTTTTGAACTAGTGGAATCGGTTTGTATTCTACAGAATGTTCTTTATTAGATTCTATTGTTGTGTAATATGATGGTACCAAAATAGTTTTAATTGCTTTTTCTAAAAAACCATAATCAAACCACTTTACAGATAAGTCTACCACAGAACTTTGGAATATGGAAATTGATGTTTTATGAAAAGATTTAGTAGCTGTAATAAAAGAAGAGTTGTGATTAATGTTATTACTGCTGCAGTCATGTAAACATTTTCATTAAATGGAGAATACCAAATTATGCATAGTTTGCATAGTTAGTTTGAGAAAGTTTAAAGGCATTGACATTTAATGGCATTAAATGTCAATGCCTTTAAATTTACAATTACTATCCAGGATTTTTCTTAAAGAATATTCTCATCATCATAATGATGGATTTCAAAATTCACTTTTTTGAATGTAATAGTATTTAGAACAATTAGAGAACACTTAAAGGGTTGAAAAAAAGTTAGAGACAAATTCAAAAAGAATTTTAGTAATAAATCTGAGTTTAAGAGCTTAAAAAGAAAAACTGCTTCAACCTTCATAAGTTATGGTCAAACATTTGATATTTGTTCTCTTCTCTTCTCTTCTGCTTCAACCTTTAAAATATCTTCATAAGTTTAAAAGAAGCGTGTCAAAGGATCTAAAGGATTGTCTGAGCTTGATGTAATCTATCTAAAAATATTGAGCTTGTAAATTTTACAGAAGATATATTTACAATAATCTAAATAAAAAAAAATTCATATTTCTTCGAATCTAATACCGGCTAACAGAAGATAATGAGATTATGGTTTCAACTTCAACTTTTTATTTTATGAAATATATTAATTTTTTTTCCCAGAGACTTCTGTCCCAATCGATATTTTTGACGCTGCTTTTCAAAAAATTTATTTCAAGTCAATAAGAAGAAAATACCAGAAAGTGGTATTTTCTTCTTATTTAATTGAGATAAAAAATAATGAAAATCCAAAAAAGATATGAAAAATAGTGAAAAAGAAATAGTGACGAAAAATAAATAGTGTTTTTAATATATTTATACTATTTTATTTTTCATCACTTTTGTTAATAGTGATGAAAAATAAATAAAGTTTTTTTATCTTGAAGATACAATTTATGTATTGTATTCTACAAAAATAGAGTACTCAATGTTCTTGATATTGATAATTTGAAAACATATTGATATTTTCAAACTCACACTGTGAATTTGAAAATTTTTGTTAGTTTAAATAAATAATAAAAGGTTATTTTTTACTAATTTATTATTTCTCTGTTATTTTAAGAACATTGAGCACTCTATTTTGTAGAATACATTTTAAAATAATTCATATATATATAGATTGATGTTTATAAATTATCTAATAACAACAACAAAATTAATACCAAATCAAAAATGTTAGGTCGAGCTTGGTTACCAATAAAAAGAAGATCTTTAAAACCTTTTGTTATTACAAGGGCCATACGTTCTCCATTACGCTCCAGAAGAGCATTTGTAGCAACCGTTGTGCCCATGCGAATCCATTCAATATCATCAGTAGGAACTAAACCATCTACAGGGATTATCTTTGAAGAATTCTAAAGTAAAAAAAGTTTAAAGATAATATTCCTTCACATTTTAGGGTTACTCATTTAGCATAAAAATAACATTAAAATAACTTAAGAAAAATAATATGAATTTAGGGCAAAAATGTCTGCAAATGAATTTCTTAATCCTCTATAGCAGATATTTCATAAGCAGTAAAATTTAAGTAAAATTTTTTTCTTTTTATAAAATGATGATAATAAAATGATTTTTAAAATTTTTATATAATATATAATTTCGCTTCTTTTGAGACCCAACATGATATACTTTTTAAAAACTGTTTGTTTTTTTTTAATAATATTAGGGACCTGTCTACCGAACCCTTAGTCGATGTAGCAGGACTCCTTTGCAGCAGAAGGCTTAAAGATAGTCAATGTGTGTACTGAAGCCTCCACAACTTTCTGTTTTTGTATGACATCAACCGTGCACATCTAATGCTGTATTTATATATATTTATATATATATATATATATATATATATATATATATATATATATATATATATATATATATATATATATATATATATATATATATATATATATATATAATAATGATGATGATAAAAAAAATTCATTTGAATCAAAGTTTATTAACTTTTTATGTAATCTGAAAAATAATAAACAGGAAAAAGAATTGAAGAGAAAAAAAAAGGATAAAGTAAAACAAAACTTTTCTTACTTCACTTAAAATTCTACGAATTGCCTCTGTTGGAGCATCAGGATAAGCAGGATCTTCTGAGAGCAACTTCATAACAATAATCTTTTCCCCGTATTCAGCATAGACATCAGTAAATGTTCCTCCACGATCAATCGAAAAACGAAACTTACTCATCTTCACACAGTTTCTATTTGAAATAACATAAGCATGTGTAACATATGTATTGAGATATGAAACTATGAGTATACTTAACAGTATAACTATTTAAGGAAATGCAAAAATTCTTTTAAATCTTTGTAAAATTAATTTAGAAACAGTGGAAAAAAGTAAACTTTTATTACCAAAATGTTTTTTTATTTATTTTTTCTTCCTAAAACTTTTTTTTTTTTTACTTTTCACAGTTAAACAAACACTTCCTCCATTTGCAATGTCGTTGCAAAGAGGTTAAAAAATATTTGAAAAAAAAAAAATTATTTTAAAAGAAGTTAATTTTCAAAACTAAATTTAATTCTAAAGTGTCATATAAGTATTTAGACAGTTCAAAAACAGTCAGATGTTATTAGTTTTGAGTTTTGTTCAGTAGTCCTCAAGAATTGCGCTACATTATTTAACTACCAACTCCTAATTTAAAGAATTATTTACGACAAGACGACTCCTAATTCAATTTAGTTGGCTAACATATCGCCAAAACAAAATGGGTGGCAAAAAATTAGTGTTAACTGTTGCCATGTTTCATTAACTTTGATTCTTGCAAAATATTAGAACTCATTACTAGAGAAAAAGTCAATAAATACCTATAAAAAATAATTCACTAACAGTTATGGTCAAACAGCATGGTCTTGTAAAATACAAACCTTGCACCACAAATTTATTTTCAAACTAAAGTTTAAATAAAAAATTGAAAATAAAATTGAGGGTTTTTAAACTCTTATTTTTATTTCTATTAGTAATTTGTTGTTGTGGCAATGCTAGACTTTTCAAAAGATTTTCAAAATGCTAGACTTTGCAAAAACTTTTGATTGCATTTCTTGCTAAAGTTTTCTTGGTTAGTTAAAAGCATGTGATATTTTTGGCTTAGCTAAAAATGAATAGAAACTTTTATAAATAACAGAAGACAAAGAAAAGTTAATAGTAAAAATGTTTGTGAGGGTGTGGAAATTTTTAGTAGCATGTCACAGGGTTCTGTTATAAGGTTCTTGATATTTATGTTGCATAATAATAGCAAGATATTTATGTTGCATAATAATAGCCAGCAAATCTATGAATAAATATAAACTGTTTGTTGATGATACTAAAATTGTATTCAAGGTAATTTTAAAGAAATGCACATTAAGTAATTTGAGATTTAAATAGACAGAAGAATTTTAAGTTTATTTTTGATGAGTGTATAAGAAATGCACTATGGAGTTAACAACAAAAAAAATCTTTTATATATTGATAGCACAAAATTACCAGAATCAGAAAGCATAAAAGATATAGGGGTAATTTTTTTTAAATCTTAAGTGAAATTATCAAGTTGTTGCTGCAACACAAATAGAAAGTTACTTTATGTGAAAAATTCAATTGCTTAACTGTCAATCACTTTATGTGATTTTTTTTTATCTTTTTTATTTTTAGTACAGATATCTAAAAAATTGCTTTGACAATACGGAACTCAGTTCATTTTTGGAACTAAATCATTAATTTAAGGAACTTGTAAAATAATGGAACTAGCAAAATAATTTTTAGTAAACTCCTTTAAAGCAGAGTTATACTGTTAGGCAAATAATAAGATGCTTTTAAAAACCTTTTAATAAATATAACATATATGTATTGTTTTCTTGTTAACTATATTGTTAAAAACTAAACTAGTTTACTTTCGTCCCACGTTTTTTTAATTTCTGATTTAAATTTTATGTTTTCTATATTCTTCGTCCCAGAAGGAATCCCAGAAGCATTTAATTTTATTTGCAGATTGTTTAATTTTGACAAGTATTGTTATGTTGTTGAATATGATAGTCATTTAATATTCTATTGTAATGAATATTTTCTTTTTTTACCACATATTTTGGAGTACAGTTATATTTTGTAACTTGAAACTATTGTGTATGAACTTAAAAAACCTTTAATGTAACGCTTTGTTTATTGATAGCCATATCAACAAATTACATTTTTGTTACTGTTGTTTACATATACTGTTTACATTTATCGTTTTTACATTTACCAATATATATTCCAAAATATATTCGGATCCACGTAATATTAAAATATTTAACTATTAATTTTTAATTAAAAAAAAAGAACTATCAGTTTTAATAAAAAATGATTTAATTATATGATTGAAGCAAATTGAAAAAAAGGAGTGTTGAAGCACACGTGGTTGGTCTGATATTTAATAGGCTGACCAACCACGTGCGCTTTTGATGGGTTGTCCATAAATTACGTCACGCAATTTTTGACCGTTTTCGACCCCCCCCCCCCCCTCTCGTCACAAAATCGTAACACTTAAGAAGCGCGTTTTGAATGAGTTGTCAAAAAATCACCAACCCCCTCCCTTTATAGCATGACGTAATTTATGGACGAACGAGGTAAAGGCCGTTTTCCACAAGACGAAATATTCGCGAAATATAATAATAAATAAATATACTATAGCAAGTAAATGTTGTATTGAAAGCTAATAATTAATGCTCCTTTTTTAAACTAAAAACAAATTTTAAAGTTAATATTAAAACTGTACAAAGATAAAAAAAAAAAAAAAAAGTACCATTAGTCTGAGGATGATATGCTGATGTTTTGGCGGATTCCATGTTTAATATCAGTAAAAGATCTTCCTCGAGCTTTTCACAAAACACGCGTCCTTGGTCGTGAAGTAGAATGTTTCAAGACCCAAATCTGAAGACCAGACGGAGAATGAAACTATTAACAGAATCCGCATTTTTTTATGGAATCAACTTCAGCTTATCTAGTCAAGTATTCTGTTGCTACTACAATATACTTCTTTCCGTTCTGAGTTTCTTTCAAAGGACCAATTAGATATATTCCTCAACGGTGAAATGCACTGGGATTTGAGAGAGCGTCGCATGTGATGGTTTGTTGTTAGGATTCGCACATTGACATTCAGGGCAGGATGCTACAAATTTTCGTATGTCTTTTGAAATCGACTTCCACCAATGCCTATCACTTGCTTTTTTGATAGTGGCGTTTTGCCCAAAGTGACATCTTCCAACTATATTGCCGTGGAGAGTTTGTATTATACAGTTTCGTTAATCATTCAGTTATCACACGTTGTAGTTTTAATTAAGTTGAATCGTGTTTTAACTTAATTTTGTATTAACTTATTACTTTTAAAAATTTTTTAAGTTTTTAAAACTTTTAAAAATTAATAAACCTAAGTATTATAGATTATAAAACAAGACCTTAAAATGGTAACATAGTATAAATAAAAATAAAAATTAAAAAATAATATAAATAGGCATGACGTTAAAAAAAACTTTCGTAAATCACGCATTTTCTTAAATCAATCATTTGAAAATTAAAATGAATGGATATAAAAATGGAATTAAAATCGCGCATACTTTTGGAAGCAAAAATTCAAAATTAAATTAGGTATACATCTTCTATTAAAAACTGTTGCTCTTTTACCAGCAAGCGCTTAAATTTTATTTATTTTTATAACATACTAGTTTTAATGTTAATAAGGCCGTCCCGATGAAGAGGAGGGGGGGCGTATGGGTGTGTAGCCCCCTACAAATTTTATTAGTCGGCAAAATAAACATTGCAGTTGGCAAAATTGGATTTATAGTTGGCAGTCGGCAATGTCGGAAAACGAGTTTTTTTTTTTTTTTTTTTTTTTTTTAAGATAAGTTAGTGCGCAAAAAACGATTTTTTTTTTTTTTTTTTTTTTTTTCGTTTCCTTCTTGTCGTTGTTTACAAAGATAAAGAGACAAGGCTTCTGAAAGAAGATCATAATGATCTTATCATCAGAACTTTTTACAATTTTTTAAAAATCAATTACATTAACAAAACTAAAAAATTACAATAAATCGTGATATAAATTGGAAATATAAATCAAACCACTAATGTTATATATAATAAAAAATCTGATCATACCATCAGGTCTAAAAACGTTAATATATAAATACATATATATACATAGTAAATACAGTAATACATCTCTTTTTTTAAAAGGCAAGAGAAAATACAACAGTCTTACAATTAAAAAGACAAATACGTGATTGTTATAAAAAGTATTTAAATATATCACCAATAGATAAAATAACATTTTTAAGTTTACTTTTAAAGATCGGAACTGTATTGGATATATCAAAATTAGGTATAACAATTTTATTCTAAAGATAGGGTGCTCGAAATGTAATGCAAAATTTGTTAAATTTTGTTCTGCAAATAGGTTCATGTACAAAATTTTTAATTCTAAGTAAATATTTATTAATTGGGTTTTGAGAAAAAGGTTTTTAAAGACAGGTAAAGTTAAATCGTTTTTCCACATGTAAACAAAGCATAAAATGTTATAAACATTGAGCTCGTAAATATTAAGTATTTTCATCTCCATAAATAATGGTTTGGAATGAGTAAAACGATCCGCAAAATTAATCAATCGGATCGCATGCTTCTGACAGCGAAAAAGGCATTTTAGCTTACTTTTTTCGGTGCTTTCTACGCAATGTTGGCATAATTAATATAGGTGTGAATAAATGAATAATAGAGTTGGGTTAAGGCTTTTTTGTTTAAATATGATCTAGATTTATATAAGACTCCGCTATTTTTAGATATTTTTGAGCAGATATATTCTATATGCGGTTTTCATGTAATGTTCTCGTCGAGAACCACTCCTAAAAATTTATTTCAACTTTATCAATAAATATTTTGAAGAAAAGTGACTCCAAGATAGAGCCTTGGGGAACACCACAGGAAATATTTAGTAGATGGCTTTTGTTATAGTTATTAATAAAAACAAACTGTTTGCGGTTTGATAAGTAACTAGAAAGCTATTTTATAGTTATATAGTTTAATCCGTAGTATTTTAGTTTTTCAAGAAGGATTTCATGGTCGGCAGTATTAAAAGCCCTCGACAAGTCAATAAAAACACCTAATGTATATCGAGATCTTTGAAAGGAATTTGAGATTTCTCGTACAAATTGGATGATTGCATGTTCGGTAGAATTATTTTTTTTAAACCAAATTGATTATAATAAAAAAGATTATTGGAGACAAGATAATTGTATACTCTATTGTACACAATACGCTCTAAGATTTTTGAAAAGGTAGAAAGGATAGATATAGGGCGATAGTTACTGATATTGCAACAGTCTCCTTCTTTCAAAATTGGAATAACTTTTGCAATTTTTAGACGATCAGTTAAAACTCCTTGGTGGACAGATGATTTATAAACTTTATAAAGAATATTTTTGAGATGATCAAAACACTCGATAATTATGTCACTATTTATTCCATCAGCTCCAATAGCTTTTTTTTTTTAGTAATTTGAAGGCGATTTGGAATTCATCAAAAGATAATTTTTAGTATATTTCTTTGGAACAGTTGCAATCATCCTTTGGTACTAAGAAATCGTTAAATGCGACTGGGGTAAAGGGAACATTATTAGCTAATTTAGGGCCGATTTCGATAAAGTATTTATTAAATTCGTTAGATATAGCTTTTGATTTATTACTACTTTTGTTATCAACTATAATCATTTGGGTTAAGGAACTTGAGCATGTTATTTGATAGCCAGTAATTTCTTTTATTACTTGCCAAGTGCGCTTAAAGTTATTTTTAAATTTGTCAAATATTCTAGTAATATTTTTTTTTTAGACGTTTACGAATTTTTTCGAACAAATATTTATATATTAAAATCTTTGTATATTTTTTCATTTTTAGACGATTTCGTTTTAAGATATTTTATAAACAACTTCTGTTTTGTTTTAGATGACTTTTTGAAACCCTTGGTAACCCAAGGGTTATTAAAATTTTTTATTTTAGTTGTTTTTTCAATAATTGGAAAGTTTGCATCATATATGGCGTAAAATGTTTTAAAGAAGGTCTCATAAATGGTGTCAACATTCTCCTTGAAATTAATATAATCCCAGTGCAAAAGAGATAACTGATTTTTGGCTTTAGTCGGCAAAAAACAGACAAGTCCCATCCCCCCCCCCCCCCATCATTTAAAATCTTTTCGGGATGGCCCAGAATACAATATATTATATAAAGTATGATATCAAAACTAGTATATTATAAAAAATAATAAAAATATAAGTTATACATTAATTTTATTTTATTATATATTTTTAATTTTAATCATATAAATATTTTTGTTATATATATATATATATATATATATATATATATATATATATATATATATATATATATATATATATATATATACAGGTTTGGACTAGCTTTAAAATATGGACCGGGATTTTTTTATCCAGCTTTATCTTTCTTATATAGGCCGAATAATACTCATCACTATTAACTTTCTCTTGAAGCAAATTCCAGCGGAACTTGTTTTTAATATTTTTGTCCATCTCAGAAATGTCAGAAAAAAAATCTTAACTTCCATTTTATAATTTTTTCTTCTTGATCGTGTTAATTGACAAAAACTTTTGTAAACTTTTAAAACGGAATTTAGATTATTTAACTTCTTACAAAAAAAATATTTTTAATATTCAAAAAAGTTAGTTAATTTGAATAAAAAATAAAATAAAGAAAAATATTGATCTCGTGAGTTACTGATCTCGTGAAAATTGATTTCGTGAATTACTAATCTCGTGAAAATTTCAGTTATATAAAACATTTTTGTTTAAATTCAAACGTTGACGTGTTTAAAATCTTATTTAATTTTTTTCAAATTAATAACAAAAGACATGCGGAAGTTTCTGGAAAATTACAGGAATTTAAGTGAATTTCCGGAATTCCGGAAAAAACTTATCTATGAAATGCATAATTTAATGCATTTGTTGAATAATACACAAACTAATACTGGTTGAATAGTCCACAAACACACTGTATAATTGCTGGCGCAGCTTCTTATCTATCATACTCTTATAAGACTATGAAGGATATGAAGCAGCGCTAGGAATTATTTCTTATACTGTGTAATTTGTGCACAGCATATTTCTTTTAAATCTTAAAACGTATTAATAAGTGCAAATTTCCAGAAAAAAGAGCTTCGAAAGTTTAAAGCTTGGTAGAGGTTCAATAACAAAAATAACGTGAAACAATCGCCAAAATAAAAGCAACTAATACTATTAGCCAAAATAAAAACAGCTAATATTGTATGACTTTTTTCTTAGGTAAAAAATACATTAAGAATTAATATATAATAGTTTTTTTAAAAAAGCAACTTCAATAGTGATCAGTCGCACACTTTTCAAATTAGTTATCGAACAAATATTTTCTGTTCAACGAGCGCCAAATATCAAACTTCCAATCCGAACGTGAGTGCTTCCAATTTTCTGTTCAACGAGCGCCAAATATCAAACTTCCAATACGAACGTGAGTGCTTCCAGCAGAAATCTGGACAATAATATTTAATTGTTAGAACCGAACAAAATAATGAATGATATTTTTATATAAATTTTTTATCATTATGTCAATGTACTTCATAAATAAATCAGACAACGAAAGTAATAAAAAAAATAAAGAAAAATAATGATATTATAGTCTAAATAAAATTAAAAAAAAAAAATGTTTTACAGCTTCTTGGTAATCGTTAGACATCCCCATACTTAACATGAGATTGTTTTCCTCAATTCCGCAGCTTGTACAAACATCCTGTCGACATTTTGACAGACACTGAAAAGTTTTGGAAAATGTCAAAATATTTTAATTATTACAATTTATGCTAAATAATTACAATTTAAATAAAATAAAAGTATACTAAAAAATCAGGATTTGGTCCTTGTGAGTAATCATAGTCAAATAAACCAATCGTCATTAGACCATAAAGTGACAATGATTTACAACTATTTAAAATATGCTTTGCCAAAGAAACACATTCATTTGGTTCACAACCTCCTTTATCTGAAAAATATTTAAAATCATGATCATAAATATTAAATAACGGATGTTCCCTCAAAAATGGAACTACAACAGAACAATCAAAAAAAGGATAAGTATGTTTTTTTTGAAAAAAATCAAATTAAGATTATTTTGCTGGACTAATGTACATTTAATATTGTTAATCAATTCTTTTCTGGTAATCCCTTATGACAAACTGCATTCAGTTTTCTTTTTATCGAGCTCGCAAACTTCGTACTATCTCTGGAGTGTTTTTTTTTAACAATACTTGATTCTTTCAATTCATTTTTGAACATTTTTAGCTTTCCACTTTCTCTTGTAGACCAAACCTTTCAAAACAGGGCCAGAAATTGCAATTTTTGGTCTTTAAGATAGTTAACTTTCAGACATGGAGCAAACTCCAAACATTTATAAGTTTATACTTATGTAAAATAAGGATGCTTTGCAAAAAATTGCGATGATAGGAGCATGAGAACAAAAAAGCCGACATATTTTGGACCCTCCTGCACCAAACGTGAGAGCAACAAGTTGATAAAAACTTTTTGCACTATTCCCAACTAGATTTATATTGATCGATAAATTTTAAGTTTCATAGTACAATATTTCAGCATTCAAAAACTATAACCATATAAAATAATACCTCCTTAGTTTGAGGGGGTTACAAATTATCCACTTGTTGCTCTCATATTTGGGGCAGGAAGGACCGAAATTTTGTTCCCAGGTTCCAATCATCACAATTTTTTGCAAAGCATCCTTATTTTACATAAGCATAAACATACAAATGTTTGGAGTTTGCTCCATTTCTGGAAGTTATTTATCTCAAAGACTAAGAATTGCAATTTCTGCCCCTGCTTTCAAATAACCCCCCAAAAAAATTTTCTTACATCTTTTTTTGAGCTCATGTTTATAACTAAAGCAAAATTACTTTTGAATAATAAATTTTTGTAATTACATATTGTCTAGTTTACATAAACATTAAGTCATACGTTGTTATATTACATATTGTCTAGTTTACATAAACATTAAGTCATATGTTAGCATTTTAACATTTGCACATAAGCCATTGTATTTTGTGGAGTTCCATTTTTGAGGGAACACCTGTTATGATTATAAAAATTAAGACTGATTATCATGATCATCATTGTCTGGCAATCAAATGAAAAGGAGGACAATAATTATGATCATCATAATGATGGTAATAATAATTATAATTGTCATCATCAAAAATAAAATCTCACTTTCTTCAGCACTAGTATTAACTTGAATAAAAACATTTAGTTGTGTGCCTGTATTTTTTTTTGCCCAACTTTTGTCAAGAGCATCCGCAAGTTTTATACTTCCAACTGTATGAACAGCAAACAAATTTTCAACATCTTAAAAAAAAAAAAAATTACATAAAACATTTAAAGACATGTTAATAGCAACATAGCATACATATTTCTGACTGTATATGGGTATTATAAAACATAAAACACATATAGTATAATATATATATATATATATATATATATATATATATATATATATATATATATATATATATATATATATATTAGTTAATAACCTTATGTTTTGCAAATGTACAATTGCTTGGTTAGGAACTTTAATAAACCTAGATAAAAAAAACTTGCGTAGTTTATTTAATTGTTTTGTGACATTGATACTGTGACATTTGTCACAAGATCTTAAATCTAAGCTTCATCTGGTGAATTTTTCAAGAAGATCTAATGAACTTACTATTTCAATATTCTATTCAGAAATAGAAGTATGTAATAAGACTTAAACCTTAATAACAATATTATATATTAAATACTACACATTAGTTATTTTATTTACTACACAAAAGTCGCTACACAAAATTTTACTTGAACTTTAAAAAAAAAAAATAATCTAGGAATGCAACAGTTGAAATCAGATTACTAGATGTTATATTATTTGTGATTAATAGAACAGTCAATTCCTTTACAGTAATAGTTTTAGCTTTCTTGTATTATGCCTAATATTTAGGTTCCAACTTGTATGACATTAGTTTGTTTATTTAGCATTACTACTAAAAATAAAAGGATAAGCAAAATATTTTGTTGTTGTTGTTCAATATCTACATTATATAAAAACTATATTTATATTAACATTACTCAAAAATTTCAAGTACATTTCACAATTTAAATAACTACACTTTTCTAAATTTCTTTAAATTGTACTTTTTGAAAGTTTTGAGGTCATCCTCCACAATTTAAACAAAATACTGCTTCTGTGTCTTTTTACTAGCAGTTGAATTGAAGTCATAGATACAGGTTACGCTATATTCAGCTTGTTGACACATAGTAGCTTGTTGACTATGCATCAATAAATGGTGCCAACCAATCAATCAGAGGATACTCTATAAAACTTTTGTCTACTTGAATATTACACTTTGTTCAGCAACATTATTTTTTGCTGACTCTTTCTTTTCATTTGTTTTTTTTTCTTTCAGCGATTGAAAAGAGCATGTCTACACCAGGTGTAGCTGTAGATGGGACATGAGCATGTTTACATTAGATGGAGATGTAGGTGGTGGAGTAAGATATTTTCTAGCAATCTTTTTTTATCATGTCAACTAAACTACTTTTCCATAACTTTTATTAAGTCAACCTTTCTATAAATAAGAGATTTTGATTATAGTTGAATTTATTTCTAGATTTAAAAATAATTCTTGACAATGATTGAAAAAAATATTTTAATTCTTTAAAGATGAGTTTCCACTCATTTTTTCATAGGAATAGCAAAAAGCAAAAGGTAAAATAATCGCTTGAGCATGCATAGTTTTCCTTCGGGCAAATTAAAACTTACACTACCCACATGATTTTTTTTTGCTTCCTGTTCCCATGAAAAAACAGAAGAATGGAAACTCACCTTTACAGTAGGTTCAGCCATGAAATTTGATGTAGTAATTAGATTTGATGATGTCATCATTGAACTTAAAAAATTAAGCTAAAACCTTTAGACAGTTTGAATTTAGAAATCAGAAAATTTTTTAGATCATGTTAGATCAATTAGTACTGATCTAAGATACATATTTGATCTAAGATACATCTTAGATCAATTAGTACTGCTAATGCATAGTTCTTTGTTAAAATAATGTCAGAAATCGTTTTTGTATTGCCAGTTTGAAGGATTTTCTTCTTGTGATTTACCACCATGAAAAGTGATGCCAATATTGTTGATGCAATTGGAATGCAGATAATAATTCCAATTGATGTTTTTAAACAATGTTTTAGTTGCATCCTTAAATGTATTCATCATTTTCACTATTTTATTACACAGTTCCCGCTCTTTTGACACACAGTTCCTGCTCTTTTGTCTTGGAAATAATTAGTGCTAAAGTTGATTAAGTTTAAATTGAGTATAAAATCAATACCATCTTGTTCAACTTGACATCATTTGATAACTCAAGTCTTTCAATATTTTTTATTTAAAATTGCTGTTGTCTATAATTATTTGTAGAATAAGAACATTTTAATAGTACATAAATAGCACTTGGGAATTTGGGAAACCTGACTACTAGCTGGCCTCAAAACCATAAAACTGAGTTTTAGAGCTGTACCCTCTTTCTTTTGAACATTTGTTTTGTTGTCTATAACTCTTTCTAGAATCTGTTTTAATATTATGTGTTTCACAACATTTTTTAATTAGTAGTTTAATAAATGATTCCAAAAAAAGCAACAAAAATTCCTTCCAGTCATAGTCATTATTTAACAAAGTGAAGTTCCCGCTCTTTTAACTTTAAGTGAAGTTCCCGCTCTTTTAACTTTAAACCATTTTTAAAGATTTATTTTAAATAATTGCAAAGATTAAAATCTACATAGATCAAAATATGGTTTTATTAATAAACACAATTTTTTTAAGTAACAAACTGCCTGGTTGCCTGCTGGGCTACTGACAGGAATTTTTTTTCAAATTTTAGTCAACTTTAGAGAAAACAAGTTGTCTCGTGCCATGGGACAACCATGAGGGTACAACCCTGATATATATATATATATATATATATATATATATATATATATATATATATTTATATATATCATGGCGAGATTTGGATGTTAGTTTTTTTTTTTTGGTTAATAATTCTTTAGGATTTTTATACAATAAAATTAATACAAACGTATATTGGTTCAACAGTAGGCATGTGGCAGGGACGACTGAATAAGCGTGAATTTCATAAGTGTGAACTGGCATATGTGCGAACTGACATAAGTGTGCCAAAACATTTTGCAAACATTGGCATAAGTGCGAAGCAGTTGTAAAAACTGGCACAAGTGCAAAACTGGCATAAGTGCGAATTGGCATAAGTGCGCCGAACAAATTTGCAAACATTGGCATAAGTGCGAACTGGCATAAGTGCAAATCAGTTACAAAAACTGGCACAAGTGCGAACTGGCATAACTGCGAATTAGCATAAGTGCGCCAAATAAATTTGCAAACATTGGCATAAGTGTGAACTGGCAAAGCGTGAATTGGCATAAGTGCGAAATACTTATTTGCACTTATGCCAATATTAGAAATTTTATTTGGCACACTTATGCCAATTCGCACTTATGCCAGTTTGCACTTATTCCAGTTTTTGTAACTGATTCGCACTTATGCCAGTTCACACTTATTCCAGTTTTTGTAACTGATTCGCACTTATGCCAGTTCGCATATATGCCAATTTGCACTTATGCCAATTTTTGCAAAATGTTTTGGCGCACTTATGCCAATTTGCACTTATACCAGTTCACACATATTACAGTTTTTGTAACTGCTTTGCACTTATACCAATTTGCACTTATGCCAATGTTTGCAAAATGTTTTGGCCCACATGCCAATTCGCGCTTATGCAGCCTCCCGCATGTGGCAAACTAGATTTTGCAAATCATAAGCAATCTTTCAAAAACAAAAAACTCGCAAGCGCAACCATGCTTTCATAATATCTATGGAATACACAAAATAAATCAAAAACAACACCCAATTTAAAATGGTCCATCATAAAAAGCGCCCCTGCCTACAACAACATAACCAAAAAATGCGAAAAACTATTAATTCTATATTTATTATTAATAATAATTAATATTATTAAACTATTAAAAATCCTAAAGAATTATTAAACAAAAAAAACAAACTAATATCCAAATGTCGCCATGAGAAAAAGTTTTTGCTAGACAACTACAAACCAAAAGATTAAATTTTTCTGACTCTTTTGTACAGATTAATTATTTTTTCATGAGAAAAAAGATATTAAGTAACTAGTTTTCTTAGTTTATAGCATATATCATATTCTGGCATACAGCCGGAAAAAGTAGAAAAAAACGAAGAACAATGTATGAAAATTTAGCTGCCCCATGCCAAACCCTCAATCCATTTAGAGACACTCCTTTGCAGCATTAGGCTATGAGATAGTTAATGTGTGTACTGAAACTCTTGGCAGCAGGCTATTTCAGTATGATGTCAGAGATTCTACCTAAATACACATTCATAATTATATATATATATATATATATATATATATATATATATATATATATATATATATATATATATATATATATATATATATATATATTTGTATATAAAAGCTGATAATATTAAATTACAAAAACCTAATAGATTATTCACTTTATTTCGTTGCAGACTTCCTATGAAGTGCCATCGAATATCATTGTAACCAAGATTCTATATTTAAAAAAAAACATGCATATTAGCTGTATTATATTTATACATATTTTATATTGCTGGTTTGCACTGTCTCACAGATGGGATTCTTATTAGCCAATAGTTGTATCAAGAAATATGTTATATAAAAGATATATGTTATATTAGGAAAAATTAAAATTTTAATTTATCGTTGTTTTCTTTTTTTTTAAAAAAAACTGTCAACAACAGTTGAGTAACAACCCTGCTGTTGAGGAACAATCGCGATGTTAAACTGATAATAAATAATTTTTAATGAGCAATTAAAAAGATTCTGATTTTACAATATAATAACTTGAAAGTTCTATAAATTTTTTACAAACAAAAAAATCTAACATTAAATATGAACTTGTTATAAACAAAGTTCAACTAAAAAAAAAAGTTCAATTAAATTAAGAAAAACTAAAACTAAAAACTAATAGTTAATTGTTAAAAGCCAATAATTAAAAGTTAATTGATTTTTTTTTAAGTTAATAGTGTTAATAAAGTTAAATAAAATAACAATTAAAATTTTCATTGTTATTTCAAATAGTTAACTTAATGTTATTAAGTTCTGTTTTTATAAGAAAAATCAGTGTATATGCACTAATTAAAAAAACTTTTGCATTTTTCATCATAGCTTTTTCAAACACCTTTAAATAAACATTAATAAGAAATCTTAAAAAATGTTAATAATTGTAATAAAAAAATGCTTTTAAAATACTTTGAACGTTTTTTTAAAAAAAAAAAAAAAAAAAAAAAAAAAAAAAAACTTAAAATAACGATTAAGTACTAGGTATTTTGAAAATATACTATTGTAATAAAAAAATATAATTGTAATAAAAATATAGAATAATAAAATATAGTAATAAAATATAGTAATAAAAATTTAGTAAATATAATATAGTAATAAAATATAATAAATAAAATATAGTAATAAAAATTTAGAGCACATTAATTTTTTTCCAAAAAAATAAATAAATAAATATATTCAAAAAATCTGTTTTGCATAATTGTCACTTTTTTCTAAATAATTGATAAGGGATCGTCCATAAGTTACGCAAAGCTAAATTTATTTAAAAAATAGATGCGCTTTTACGTGACAATTTCCGTATAGACTTTAATGAACTATTTTACTTTTTTATATAACTTAAGGCTTTGCAAAGGAAAACTTTTGATCTTTTTTGTTTTGTTTATTAGTGAAATTTAGCATTATGTAATTTAAGGATGATCGCTAATGAGTTTTTAAAATTAATTGAGCATTCTTTAGCGTTCTAAAATATTTCCTTTTGATATTTTTAATTTAAATTCTTTTTTCTTTAAAAATTATCCTATAATAAAAATAATTTTTATTATTGATTGCATGATTTGCTTTCATTTTAAAAGTCTATTTTTCCAATTTCTTTAATAAGTCAAATATTTTGAATTTTAAATCTGGTGACTGGTTGCAGTCATTGTAACTGGTTTGAAAAAAAGATTTTTTTTAAAGTTGACTTTACTGCATCTTTAAAACTGGGTTGAAAAAAACCCTAACTGAGGGTTTAAAAAAAAGAAAAAAAAAAAAAAACAAAAACAAAAACATGATTTATTTGGTTTAAACTCCTTTTTTTTTATATAAACCGTGTTGAATCAACTTTTTCAATTAAAAAAAAAAACATTAAGCATTTCGATTGAGTAAACATATCTTCTATCAGTATTACTGATACAATTCATCAATCAATACATCATTTAAAAAAAAATGCTAGGCTAAGGAGTTTATTTTTTTATAGTCTAATATTTTAGTTTATTATTTTATAGTCCAATACAAAATGCTAGGCTAAGGAGCCTTGACAATGTCAAGGCTCCTTAGCCTAGCATTTTGTATTGGACTATAAAAAGTAAAAAGGGTAAGCAAACCAAACATTTAAAAATATACTGAGCAGGGAAAATAATGCTTTTATATTGAAATTTATGATTTTCCAACCAAAATTGGAAGCAGAACTTAACTTTTAATTATTTTTTTAACATTTTTTAACAAATTAACCTTTTAAATGAAAGCTATTATTTAACCTGACATTATTAGGTCTCTATTGAAAAAAGTATATCCTAAATATCTAAAGTCATAAAAATGATACCAAATTTTTTTTAACTTTTTTAGCATTTTAACAGGAGTATTTTGTCTCTTAAAAGTAAAACTAAATGGCTTAGACCAATTAAAAAAAAAAATCCTTCATCTTTTTTAATATATAGTTTTTAGCTCTAATTCTAGAACCTTTTATGGTTAAAATTTTTTGAAATGTGTACTAGAGAACATTTTTCTTAATTGTTTTATAAAAGATAATTGTATATGATAATAGTTTTTCAATTATTTATTCAAAACAATTAAAAGTTATATATTTATAGCCTTTTAAGCCAGGGTTGAAAAAAACCAGGGTTGAAAAAAACTTTGTTTTTAAAAAAAACAAAAAAAAAAAAACATGTTTTTTTAAGTTTAAATTCCATTTTTTTATATAAACTGTTTTGAATCAACTTTTTCAATTAAAAAAAAACATTAAGCATTTCGATTGAGTCAACATATCTTCTGTCAGTATTACTGATATAATTCATCAATCAATACATCATTATTTAATGTTCTGTATATAAAATAAGCTTTGCTGATTTTACTGCCAAACCCTGATCTGTTGTCGCATTTAAAAAACAAATTGACAATGTCAAATAAATAACATACTGTAAATTTAATATACATGAGAAACTAATTTTCAGAAGCATTTTTATGCTTTTAAAGAAGTGCATATTAAGTATTTACATAATTCATTTATTTTCAAATTCATATTAAGTATTTACATAAAAGATATAGTTCTATTTGTAAACATACCCCTTTACTTTCCTGCTGTAAATTTAAAGTTGTTCAAAAAATATTTTTTTGGTTTAAATTGATATTTTTCAAATGGTTTAAAACATGGTTTAAATCATTGCACAGTGGACCAGGTGGTGGACAAAACCTCCAAAAAAAAATTTATTATATTCAAAACCATACAATAAAACATATTTGTAATACTTTTAATTAAAATTTTGAAAATTGTTTTGAGTATAATGGTATCTTTTAAACCCACAAAAATCAGTTTCGGTTTAATGTATAATGAAATTAAAAAAAAACAAAAAAAAAAAAAGCATGAAAATTTTATTTTTTATGCATAGCTATAGTAAACAGTAACTTTTAAAATTTTATGAGCTTACAGGATTAGTTTATATATTCAAACTATTAAACAGTAAAGCTTTACAAAAAAAAAAAATAAAGTAATGATCAGCCTTTATAATACACTTGTAATATGGCTTTAAAATAAAATGGTAAATTGTTAACATTTAATACTTTTATTTTTAAATTATCACATAATTTAGGGAACTTACAAGAATCTATATTAAATACTTGAACTAGTAAATGTAATCTGTATACAACCTATATAAATTACCCCTAACTTCCCCCTTTGAGTTTTCTTAACATTTTAAAATAATGACGTTATTTGCTTGAAATCAACTTTTGTTTCTTGTTAACAAAAATACATGTTATTTTTGTTATTTAATTCAATACAAATTGCACTGTTTACCTTACAATATTTTGTTTTTTTGTTTAGTAATAATATAACAATTGCTAACATTAATGGACTTACGATAAAATTGATGACATTTATGAACTTATACAATAAAATATACTAGTTCCTAATGATACACCATTCTTTTCAACGAAATTAGCTGTTCTAGTTTCTGTAGATATTAAACTAGAGGTTTCTGAGTGTAAAACTTCATAAAATTTTAATGCAAAATAATAGCTGCAGACAATGATAATACTAATTTTGAGAGAAGTAATGAAAATTGGCTAGCTCAAGATTTTTAATACACCTACGATACATTAAATGCTACATCATCAGTTAAAGGGATCCTAAACTCCCAACACATGTTGTGTTCATATTAATGATAATGTTAAAAAAAAAGGTTTGAACCAAATTTTTTTGATTAAAAATAAATAATGAATGCATATCGTGAAAAACAAATGTTGTTGTTTTTGCCGAAGCTCGTCTTCTCCATTTTTTCCAACTACTCTGAGTCTTCAAGTTATGCGTCGCAATCTACAGACTTTGGCAATTCCTTTGAAGCGCGTTTAATTCATAAAAGTTTTAGTATTTGACGCCACGGTAGACTCTTAACAAAAGAAACTCTAGAAATATTTTTATTTATTTTTAGTCGAAGTTTTTTTGATTATTTGTTTAGTTTTTTTTTTTTCTACTTTTAATATTTAAAAAGATATTCAAAACCTAAAATATTTCATGCTGGTTCGTTGCTATAAATTGTTATTGCACCATATATTTAATGTTTATAAATTATGAATATTTATTATCTCAAAAATTGTTTTACATTAATTACCCGTATAAAATTAGTAACAGCTTTTTTATTTGGTTAAGGTGAGTATCCACTCATCCGTTTTTTCACAGGAACGGGATAGGAAAGGGAAAATTAATCACATGAGCATGCGTAGTTTTTCTTCGGACATATTAAAACTTATACTATGCATGCCCACATGATTATTTTTACCGTCCCTATCCCGTTCCCGTAAAAAAACGGATGAGTGGAAACTCGCCTTTAGATGATATTTTGTTTCAATTTGCTATGCATGAAGTTCGGAAAGTCAAACGAAAAAAATTAGTTTGAATAATCACGTCGAAATATATATTTAAAACAAATTATTTTAATGATGGGGGTTCTAAAGTTTTTTATAACAAATGTAGGTAAAAAAATAAATAACTAAATAAAAAGTTCAGTATTAAACACCATTTCTTTATTCTATTGCAACTGTAAATATTGAATTATTAACTTGAACTAAATTTACTTATTATTTAGAACGACTAAGCAATAAAAATAAAATGCCCCTAAAATTATGCAAGATAGTGTTGTTTATTTGATAATTGTTGTTGGTAATGTTGTTTATGTTGATTATTTTCATAAATATCAAAATAGTTCTAGATAAATCT